GTCTTTTCAAGCACGCCACTGGAACAACTAGTTTCGCGGAGGAGCTAGAAAAGCCATTTATGATCCCAGTCGAAAACGCGTTTTTTCAAACTATCTTCCTTCCTCTTATTCTACCGCCATGGCGTTTCTCGTATATTTATCATCCCACCGAGATGGTGCCCTACAGGGTCGGCAGTAACAGCTGAGTACCCCCTACCCTTACACACCTTTCTTTCTTCCTCTACTGTCATAGTCCTCTATAGTCCTGTTCTTTGTATTACACAATTTTTAAGATAATTTGTCTATTTCCGTTCTAAAAATCAGAAGTAGGCACTTCCAGAGATAAAAGAACCAATTTTAAAGGAAGTAGACTGTGTTTGTATTTTGAACATTTTTGAGCTTTCCATTTCAAACATATTACTCTTCGCCGTAAATGTCTTTGCAAATGCTAGATGGTTATTCTAATGTTAAATATGTCAGCGAATAATTCTGAATCAACTTAACTCGTACTACTAGATCAGACTAGACTAGCCTGCGCGAATGCCGCTCCCGAAGTTGTTCTGGAGTCCACCATCGAAACTTCCCGGTACTTCCGGCGGACCGCTTCCAGGCTTGCTTTATTCAAGCGCCGCCGTCACCGATGATGAGTTACCGCGGCGTACATACTGAAAACCCATAAGCGTCGTATCGGGACGTCCTTAATTCTGCTCGTCCCGATCAGAAACGTCATAGGTGTCACTGTTGTCCTTCACGAGGCGGTCTAAATGAACAAGCTTCATTTTCGTCGTCGGCTCTCGTCAAATTCTATAAACCATACCGTTGATCCTCGTCACGACAGTCTGGTGACAACTTCGGGCAACGACCTTTCCTTCAAATTCCCTGCCTGGAATCCTATTGAGTTACACTTAAGGGCGTAGCGTGTTTTCATTCTGTCAGTCGCCACCCGGATCTAGTGACGCACCATTTCGTGAACGCTCAGCAGCTTCCGCTTCAAGTCATCGACGTAATCTATGACCTCCTTTGGTTCTTCACTCGGATAGGCGAACAGGATGTTACAAGATAGACAAAGTTCTCTCCCAAAAACTATCCGCGCCGGTGTCTTGCCCGTCGTGTCATGGACAGCTGATCGATAAGCCAATAAGAACAGTGGAAGGTGTCGATCCTAATCTTTCTGATGCTCGGCCACCACTTTCGAAAGATGTTTTTCCATGGCACGACTGAACCGTTCTACCATTCCACCTGACTACGGGTGTAACGGCCTAGACCGTGTTTTCCCTAGTACTTCAGTAACCCTTTGGAATAGGTTTGACTCGAAGTTTCTGCCTTGGTCCGATGCATTTCTACTGAGACCCCAAAGCTGCTGATCAGCATTTTTGCAACTATCGTTCTGTATGGCATTAGCTTCGGTCCATTTGCTAAAGTAATCTCTGACGACCATTATGTATTTATTCTTGTCTTCGGTCACCTGAAAAGGACCTGCTATATCCCCTGCAATTTTTACCAAATACCAACCGACGTTGTATTGTTGTATCGGCCTTCTCGCCATAGTCCTTGGTCCCTTGACCCCCGCACAGGTCGTACATTTCTTGCGCCAGCCTCGATGTCTTCGCTACAACGGATCCAGTAAAATTTCTCCCTACTTTAGAAATCGTTTTGTTGATTCCAAAATGAGCACCAGAACTGCCTTTGTGCATCTCTCGAAGTACTTCCTTGATGCTGGTGACCAGAACCACCATAGATGGTAGTATGTTTCTAATCAGGACTTTAGTTTATTGCCAAAAACAGTTTACACTATACAACTAAAAGTACATACATACTACATACATAATGTACTTACTATCTAGATTAAATGTTTAACTAAAATACACATTTTTATTATTTGTCCTAACTTTATATACAAGTTGCCAAAAAGTATGGAAGCAGTTGAATATCTTGGGAACGGTTAGTTGGTACTTCTTGAAATTTGGGCTATACTTAAAAATACCCAGGCTCTCTTTTCTGATTTTTTTTTTTAATTTTAAACTTCATTTATTTTCAAGATGCAAGGCTAATCTGATTTTTAGTTCCTGAGCGTAAGCTAAGGAAGTATAGTAATCTTGTCCATCGGACGAATCACCGCTTTTATGTTTGCTGGACGTTTCATGACCCCTACAGTATGAAAAAAGTAGTCTGTCGTTTTCGTCTGTCTGTCTGGTGTCTGTATCCATTTTTATTGGACACATAATCTCTGAAACTGCTGGACTGATTGTTGTCAAATTTTGTATGTATATTAGAAATATCATGTAGATGGTTAAATGTCAACCAAAATTTGGCTAGTCATCCCTCCCAACAATTTGATGACGTAATTTCAGTGAACTGTATTTTAAAATGATTTAAATGTTATACAGCAATAAACTCTTGTATTTGTAGCGTACGAATCCCTTTCAGTTTTTTTTTTTTTTGCTAAACGTTCAAATTTTCGCAAAAACATTTGCAAAGTATAATAACGTTATATTACCAACACGGGATAGAAGTCTCCGTGGCGCAGTGGCTATTTCGGGGAGAGGGCGACCTGCGGCGAAGCCGTTTGACTTTATTCTCGAACCGTTCGAGTGAAGACGTATACGACTCACCGGTGGCTCGACTCACACTCGATTCGAACGCCGAATTGTTATTCACACCCAAGATTCGTAAAGTATATACTTTACGAATCTTGATTCACACCCAACTCGCACAGTCGAACGGTGTCCAGAATACGAAACTGTCAAAATCATTCGAGATGAGTCGTCACGACTCGAACGCTCGAGAATAAGCACCTTGGTCTTTTACTTTTTTCCTTGCATTGGTAATACTTTAATTTTGTACTGTGACTAGTGTTATCCATGTTGATGACCTCATAACAAATTTTTTATTGGTCAAATTAAGAACGAGTCACCCCATTTTCCCGAAAATGTGACGAATACGGACGTCTTTATATAATAATAATATTCACAACATTTTATTAGATTGTAGCTTACTTAATAATTTTAATCTGTTTTGAGGCGACGAACTTATTCAAATAAAACTAATTTCTACGTGACATTCTTCCAATGTATAAACATAAACACTTTCACGTTTGTTTGTTTATCAAGCTAAGCTAAGGACGTATAATTAACCAAATGTGAATTACAACATAGAAAATCAAAATAAAATGCAATGTTTTATTTAATAAGCGGAAATCAGAGCAAAATAAAAATCTGGACCATCGCCCTTGTGATGTGGTTATTGCAATTACATAGTAGAAAATATTTTTTTGTTTAGTTTCTCTGATTCACTCTCACGTATACAATCTCGACAAGTGTTATCGCTATTCGTCTTAAATTTGGAGTACTATAAGGGAAATGGAATGCTGGGCAGTCTGTTCTTGTCATAAGTCTTAATATAAATTCACCTTTACTGTCATTATGATTGATATTTAAAAAAAAATTGTCAAATTAACTTTGACATATATCAATTTGTGCAACATGTCAGCTGTATCAACATTAAATAAATCTCGAGTAATAGTTCTTATTCAAAGCGGGATCACAGCGGCAACTCTCGGTGACTATGGGGTTTCCAAATAGCACGGTGAATTTGATCGTGTAGAAATGGACTCGAGAGCAGAATCTGGAAGATCGTCGATGTTTCCACACCTGACGACGACGGCTTATTTGCTTGATGTAATCAGAGAGAATCCTTTTACCAATGCTGCCAAAGCAACTGTAATTAGTAATTGCGCGGGCAGTGTTAAAACTGCCATCAATTTATTTTTGGTTAAATTATACGAGTTTTGTTTTTCACTTTCGTTGTGTTACTCTGTTTTTGGTATTATTCGGATCACTTTACCGCTTAGTTGTTCTCATATTTCTTGAGCTAGAATCACTTATTGTAAAATACTCATTGCTGCAAGTTAATGTAATTGAAACAAATTTAATAAAACTTCGATTTTATCACAGTGTCAAAATGAAAAATATATTAAATCTTAAAAGTTTTGTTATGAGTAGCTAAGATCTGGTTTAGACATTTTGACAATTGAATCACACCTCTGTCCAGTTTTCCGTATCCCCGATAGTACTAAGCCGGTGCTGATAATACATACTAAGTATGTATAAATGATTTTCAGTTCATTCTACCTTCAGTTATACTTCTGCTTTTACACACGTTAGACGTGATTAAATTGTTTGGTTATTTTATTGATTATAAATCAAGATTCAAGATGACTCACTCCATTTTCCAGAAAATTTGGGAATACAATACTTTTATTATTAATATTACACTGCATCTATCCAAATTGAAATCCGTGTCCTTGCAAAAATATTGATAACGTCATAACAAAATTTTGTAATAGAAAATCTCATTTTACACAAGCGCCTAGCACGTATCTTACCTTCACTTGCTTAAACATTACACACAAATCTTTATTATAATGGTTGTCAAAAAATTAAATTCGCAAAATCAAAGCTTTCAATTTTTCGAAAATGCTGTATTTGATACACAGTTGAACATTTTAAAAGTACACGATAATTTCCTCTATTGTAAATGTATGTTCAAATCATGGGCGTTCGAACAAATTTGACATTTTGTTTATTCACCACTGGTAATAACCAGACTTACATTAAGCATGGTCGACTAGTATAAAGATTATGGCCTGTCCAAGAGGTACTATACGTGCTGCCATCTATTAATAATTCAAAAACGACAAAAGAATTATTATTAACACTTTTTGAAAGGCACAAAGGCATTCATAGCGAAACAAACCACCATTACACGTCTCATAATGTCAAGTCAAATTAAAATTTTGCTAAATTATTAAGTGTAATTATTAATAGATGGCAACACGTATGGTACCTCTTGGACAGGCCATAATCTTTATACTAGTCGCCCATGCATTAAGTTAAAACTGTAGTGTACTTTATGGGTGAGGAAAGTTCTGTCGAAATAATCTTCGACCAATTTTTTTACCTTTGTGAAAAACTACTTGTATACTGGAATACATAAATTTTACACAATAACATGTTTTTCAGAAGCCTCGATGAAACTTAAACTAGATAATGCACAAAATAACAAAAGGCCTGAAAAAGAAGAAAAAGGGCAAAAAATCCAAACATAAAGAAGAAGAGTTATTTAAACCTGAGGAACTAGAAGCTTATCGACGTGAACATCAAGACGAATCATCAACTGCCATTGGCCAGAACGAAGAGTGGAAAAAGTTTCTTGCACTTACATCCGGTGTTGATGACGTACTAAAAAAGACTCAGGGTGATTTAGATCGAATCAAAAGCACATCGTTTTTCCAACGAGTGCCACCACCGAGTGAAATTAAAAAGCAAGAACAGGCTGAAACCGAAAAACCAGACATCAAGGAAACAGAAAAACCTACTGACGCTGATATTGGTATAGTCCAAATTTCGGAATCTGATTCAGAGGAAGAGGAAGAGGATGATATTTTCGACACAGCATATATAGATGCTATTGCATCGGGGGAAGTTAAATTAGCTTACATACCGGAATCACCGACTGAAGAAACCACTGGTGATGATCCATTTGATACTTCCATAGCTGAACGTGCCATTCTTGGACCAGCCGTTGAGAGAAAAGGCAAAAAGTTAGTACCAATTGGCGCGGCCGTTGAGGTATTAACAGGACGTGTACAGATTCCCACTTGTGCAACTCCAAGACCTCCATCGAGCAGAAGACAAGTTCTTAAAGAAAAAGATTTACTTCTAGGTAGTTTTGATGATAACGCTAATTCAATAGCGAACGCTGCTCAAGGTAAGTTCTCAACGTTTTCTTTAACATTGATTTGTAACTATATTTTTAGGAAGTTCGTCTGTAGAAGCTCCAAAAACACTTTTAGATGATGATACTCCAATTCCATTAGCAAAGGAACCAATCGATTTAAGCAAGAATTTACATCAAAGAACTGCACCTCAAACTCCCATTGAAACTACAACTTCCGATCATAAGGAGAATACCATTGCCAATGAATTTGATGTTATTTCTAAAAGCCTGCCTCCAGACGAAGACGACGAGGAATTTGAAAAATTAGCCGCTGAAAGCTTAACCAAATCGCCAGTTGCTGTTGTCACCCCAATACCACAAAGTGCACAAAATAACACTTCTCCAAAAGCAGAAGAACACTGGGCTGCTTTTAACGAAGAGTAAGTAAAATGATTATTTGTAACTGCAAAATTACCAATTTTGTTGTTAGAAAATCACAGTCACCGCAAGACGTTGTCATAGAAGAGGATCCTTTCGATACAAGTTTCGCAGAAAATATTCTGCCAGGTAAGGCGGAACTAAAAGTTATAGAAAATGAGATTCTAAAAGAAGAAAGCGAATTTGTTTTTGATTCACCTGGTGACGATAAGCTGTCACAGATAATCAGTAAAGTCAGTATAAAAGTTACTGATCCTGCAGGTCAACGAGAATCCATTTCGTCTTTGGACAGAGTATCAGGTCACTATAATACCTAAAATAAATTTACTGTTTATTAATTTCAATTTGTAGAAACCGATCTTAATTTAATCAAACCAATACACAGGGACCTATTAGGAGGAAGCAACACAGATTTATCAAACTTAAGTGATAAACCTTTAAAACCATCAGAACAGATTGATGAAAACTATATAGAATATTGCGATCCATTTGATACTTCAATAGTAGAAACTGCAAAACTACCAGGTCAAACTGAATTAAAATTTTTAGAAAAAGAACTACTTGGTGATATACGAGCGGAAGAACCTCGTTTAAATGATGATGAATTTGACCCTCGTGGTGAAGAATCTAAAGAACCAACACTTTCACGTCCAGATGTTTTAATTATAAGCACTAGTAAAACTGTGTCATTTGATTTGCCATCACCACAGAGCGATTTACTAGATGGAACCGAAGAAAATATAAATAAAGTTTCAAAGCCTTTAACGCCATTTTACGTGCGGAAAAGTTCTATCCCTGAAGAATTCTTTCCAAACGACGATAATTTAAAAGTGGATCCATTTGACACATCATTTGTGAATAATATTGGTCCAGGTAAAACCGAACTAAAGTTAATTGAAACCGAACTTTTTGATCCTGCAACTGAACGTCGTTTAAGTATTTCTGATCAAGATTTTGACCCAAGGAATGAAGAAAAAGTTAAAAGAGAACAAGTGGTGCAGTCAATAAAAGAAATCGTCAATACTCAAAATAAACAAGTTAAAGAAGAAAAACAAATTGACTTACTTGCTGTTGATCATGATGTTTCTGTGAAGGTTTTAACACCATCAGCGAAAAAGTCAATCGATTTTAATGATATCTCCTATACTGATCCATTTGATACTTCGATAGCTACAAATATTGTTCCTGGAAAAACTGAGCTTAAATTACTAGAGACTGAATTAATACATTCCAGTGATCAATCTTCTGTTGACCAAGATTTTGATCCTCGCAGTTTTGATAAGAAAGTTGAGTCTGTTGATTTATTGGATGACTTTGGTGATGCTGCTGTAAGCCACCAACCTTTGAACCCCACCGTTGAAAAAGTTAACAGTTTCGACAATACGGACGATACTGATCCTTTTGATACAAGCATAGCCAATAATATAGTGCCAGGCAAAGCAGAATTGAAACTTTTGGAATCAGAATTAGTGTAATTTATTTCTCTATCAAGATGGACGTTAAGGGAGTAAATCCATTCCTCTTTAATGAAGATGAATACACTTCTCCACATTCCGCCGTTTCAAATCCATTCCTCATGGGCGATGAAGCTGACTATCCTGCACAATTTGCAGGTAACGACAATCCATTTCTTACACAACATGAGTCTAATGTTGCTGCAAATGCATCAAATCCTTTCGTTTTCGAACCCATCGAATTGGAATCGTCTGGAATTGCAGCAGCTCCTTATCAGATTAATGCATTTGTTGAAGTAGAACCTAGCAATAATCAGGATGCTTTTTCGACGACAACGACAACACCTGCAGCTAGTCAAGATTTTTTCACAACTAACCATAATCAACAAGACTTGCTGACAGATATTGTCGACATCGCTCCCCAAAAGCCGACAGATTTAGATTTAAAGTTTACCAATACTGTTGCAAATGGAAGTGGACCAGCAAGACCGCCTCCTCCTAGACCTCCCCCTTCTAAAGAAACTCAAGACTTACTTATGTCTGTGATGGGGGCAATGGATGCAACCAGTTCGCATCTGTTGGATAGAATTCCTCCAACAAGAACCCCGAGTCCCGTCTCTATAAGAGACTTGCATTCACCTAGTCCAACACCAGAACCTAATTTTGGTGATTTATTAGATGTTGGCTCTAGTAATAATAAGAGTATTGTAGAAAATAGCACAGAAGATTTATTATCTCTAAATCAAGATAATGCATGTGATATTAATCAAAATCCACCCGAACCTCAAGAGAATGTTCAGAATGCTAAACCAATAAGACCCAAACCTCCAAGACCGAAACCACCAAGTTATACTAAACCGCCAGTTCAAAATAACCCAGTACCGCCTCCAAAACCACCACCCCCAACGGCTTCTACAGCTCAGCCTGAACCCCCCGAGGAGATGCTGGATATGTTTGGGATTGAGAGTGCTCCTGCGGTTCCTAAAATGGCAACAAAAGCTGACATTTTGAATCTATATAATACTCCTTCTAAACAAGAAAAAACAGCAACTGATTTGCTTTTCGATAACGTAGAACCTGAACCAGAAAATGCAACGACAAATATAACTGAGGAACAAGTTATAACTGAGGCTATTCCGGAAGTTAAGAGAACCCCCGAACCCGTACAAGAATCTATTATTCAAGACAATTTCATATCTCCAGAACCCTCACAGAACGACCTGCAGATGGACACTAGTGATAGTCAAAGTAAAGGTTCAGTGTCCAGTGTAACATTCAATCCATTTGCAACAATCGACGACACCTCTAACAAACAGATCAGTCCCAGCAACCAAAATGAGGTGTTTCAGCAAAATACTGCAACACTGGATAATAACGTCTTTCTACAAAATGCTGTTGACAACCAACCGACCGATATCTTTGGTACCACAGTTCAACAAACACAAGAGACTCAAGATTATACTTTTGGAACAGCAGATAAAACCGACGACGAATTTGATGCATTCACTCAAAAGTTTGAGTCGGTAAAGGATGAGAATAAAAATGGTGCGTTTGACGCCTTTGCAACTTCAAATGATGCTTGGGGTAATGAGACGACTACAAATCAGGATGTTTCTACAGGTTTTGGGGCAGAGGAATCATTTGATGCTTTCTTAGCTTTGCAAGAACCACCAGGAGTACCTCAAAGTACACCGAATAGAGTTAGTAAAGCAGCGTCACAGGAGTCCGACGAAGATAAAGACTTTTCCGTATTTATAAAGTAAGTTTTTTGGAGTTGCTGTTACAAAAGGTAACGTTTACTTTTAGACCAAAAACCAGCGAGGATTATTCTGGAGGAGCGTTACCTACAATTGCACCGCCTCCAGCGCCCTTGCAAACTGCCTTTAATGATACGTCACCGAGATTTAATCCATTTGACCAACAAAGTGATATGAATGAATCTGAGCCAGCTGAACACGAGCCAGCTCTACCACTTGGTAAATATTAATGTCTACATTTTGCAATTTTTTAATTGATATTTAGTTGCTTCAGAAATGAAACGAACTGACTCCCAAGAAACCCCTCCAACGCCATTGTACGATGAAGATATATCACAACCACTAGAACCATTCCCAAGAATCAGCTATGCTGGGGAAGGTTGGGAGATGCATCTTCGGCAACCTAATAAGAAAAAAATAACTGGTCAAAGATTTTGGAAAAAAATTTTTGTCAAAATCGTACATCAAGCCGACTGTGTGTTATTACAACTTTTCAATCAGCAGTCTGACAAAGATCCATTTCAAGAGTTGCCACTACAACCTTGTTATTCCGTTTCTGATATTGGTGCACAACAGTACGATCAATTTGGGAAGATTTTTACCGTGAAATTGCAATACATCTTTTACAAGGAACGTCCAGGTGTGAGACCAGGTCAAGTGAAGAAAGCTGAAAGAATTACAAATAAGTTAAGTCAGTTCGCAGCTTACGCTATTCAGGGAGATTATCAAGGTATGTTATTCTTACGTAGAAAAATTCGCTTAATAAATAATTTCTAGGTGTTAAAGAATTTGGTAGTGACTTAAAAAAATTAGGGCTACCCGTCGAACACGCGCCTCAGGTTTCTCAACTCATGAAGCTGGGATCTCTAAATTACGAAGATTTAAAACAATTCTCATTTTGCATCGAGGAAGCCTTATTCAGACTGCAAGCACACAGAGATAGAGCTTTGCATTATAAAATGGAAGAAGTCCAAATAACTTTAGTAGATGAGCTTTACGTAGAACAAGATGCAGATGGACATGTGGAAAAGCAAATAGCGCGTGTGCGTTTATTTTTCTTAGGATTTTTGACTGGAATGCCAGATATAGAATTAGGTGTAAATGACATGAGACGTCAGGGCAAAGAGGTTGTTGGACGCCATGATATTATTCCTGTTGTAACTGAGGAGTGGATTCGATTAGAAGATGTCGAGTTTCATTCATGCGTTCAACAAGATGAATGGCATAATACTCACATTATTAAGTACGTACATTTAATCGTATTGATTAAAAATTAACTCTCGTTTTGCAGATTTAAACCTCCCGACGCTTGCTACATAGAACTAATGCGGTTTAGAGTACGGCCACCTAAAAATCGAGAACTGCCTTTGCAATTAAAAGCCACAATTTGTGTCACCGGAAACAGGGTACCCTTTTCATTACAGTTTGTATAAGTAAATCTATTGAACATGTGTTGTAGGTTGAACTTCGGGCGGACGTACTAGTACCTGGGTTTGCTTCAAGAAAACTAGGTCAAATTCCTTGCGAAGATGTAATGATCCGCTTTCCTATTCCAGAATGCTGGATCTACCTCTTCAGAGTTGAAAAGCATTTCAGATATGGATCTGTGAAATCTGCACATAGAAGGTAGGTATTTATTTGTAGATGTGCTTTGTATGTTATAATTAGTGTTTCAGGACGGGAAAAATTAAAGGCATCGAAAGAATCCTAGGAACTGTTGATACTCTCCAAGAAAGTTTGATAGAGGTGACTTCAGGGCAAGCCAAATATGAGCACCAACATAGAGCTATTGTGTGGAGGTGCCCTCGATTGCCTAAAGAGGGTCAAGGAGCCTACACCACGCATAACATGGTGTGCAAATTGGCTTTAACTAGCTACGATCAAATGCCAGACAAATTAGCAGAGTATTGTTATGTGGAGTTTACAATGCCGGCAACGCAAGTCAGTCACACAACTTGCAGGAGTGTTAGTCTACAGAATTCCGATAGTGATGAACCTCCTGAAAAATACGTCCGATATCTGGCTCGTCATGAGTATAGGTAAGAATTTGTAAAACTAAAAGTTTATTATCAATCAGGCAGTAAAATGTTCATTTCAAATTATGAATAAGTTTAGGTGCAGCCCTTACTATTACTATTTGTAATAGGGAGCCATAAATCGGTCCTTAACCAAGCGACAAAAAAAATACATTCACTCAGTAGTAAGTACACTGTAAAGTAAAATCTGAACTGAATATTCATTTGCAACTCAGACGTCTGTAGTACAATTCAATTAGTTTGTGAAAGATTGGAAAATTTTAAATGGGACTAAATGACACAAATAAAAGGGAACCTGAAGCAGTTTGGAGTTGTTATCACGAACTTCTTTGTAGATTTTTCATATTTTTTTTTAAATCAACCTCAAAGTGATAAAATCGACATCTAGTTACTGTTTACTTTCCCACCGTAAGCGAAGGAAATACAGGGTTATTCACGAGAAGCTCCACGCCTAAAAAATTTAAGACGCAACCAGAAATACAGTTTCAAAACCATCTTCGATATTTCATACCATTTAAAAAAAAATGGGTCCAAAGTTATTCCGACAGAACAGAATTAATTCGAATTTAATTTTTTCATAAGAACCCTTATAAGTTAAAGTGAAGATGTGTATGTAACGTTAAAGTAAATGTAAAGAAGCGTGCTGGGCGTACATTCCAAATGAGGTTTCCCTTAACAAACTTTTGTGATGACGTCATCAACATTTTTGCAAAGACACGTTGTATATCACTTTGGATAGATGCATTGTAATACTAATGATAACAATATTGTATTTAAACATTTTCGGGACAACGGAGTGAGCAGTTCCCGATTTAATCAATAAAATAAATTGACTCATTCATTAATTTTTATAAGTAGCCCTGTATAAAAAATTTAAAAACTTTTAATGCAATGATAAATCATCATATTTTGCACAATTTGGATAGGCGTCTTGTTGATTCCAAAATGAGCACCAGAACCTCCATCATGCATTTCTCGAAGTACTTCGTAGATTCTAATGGCCGGATCCACCAACTGCATAGTGACGTACCTTCCATCCGGACTTTCCCAGGCTCCCTAAAGCCATCCGTTCTGGATATTCAGGGAGTCCCATTGACCCCATAATGCCTTGAGAGAAGGTGACTCGTTTAATATATTCGACCAACCTGGCCGTTCTACCCCATCTTCTTTCCATCTGAGGAGCGGTCCAATATCCATGTCTTACTCCTGGTCTTTTCTACACCGAGCTGTAGTCCATTCCTCATCTTCTACGACTGTTGTCTTCCTGTGCTTTGGACTGCTCAACTTCGTCGCAGTGTTTGCAGTTCTGATAAGCGATCAATCTTGCAGATTTCGCTTCAGTACAACACTGATTCAGCTTGAACTCTTTATTTCCAAGACGTAGGGCTTCCTTTACTGGATCAGTTGTCAATCCATCGCCGCTAATCAAATCAATTACCAAAATGAAGTCATCTTCAATGCTAGCGATAAGACTTGACCTGACCTGACCAATACAAATTTCTACCGACGCTTCGCCTATGGTCGGCTACATCTTCAGCTCTCACGAGTCCTTTACGTACAGCTGATACCTTAGCGCCAGCATCGATGGTGATTGCTGCTGGATTTTCATAACTCTTTCCCGGTATAGTTGAGCCACTACTTCTGGTGAAACTTTTTATTTTCACTTCGCTGGTGGCTTTATTCTCACCAGTGAACCCATTCCTCAGAGTACTGGTTCGTTTTAGAGATCTGTGAGGTCATTGTTGTATACTTTTTCTTGGAACTGGTAATCGAGCACGATAATCACGTTTGAGGTGTCTCTGGCGCACACATAAAGTATTCCACACTTTTGCCTACGAGACACATCATTCTCCCGTCTTCGAAAGAGGCCATCTATTTGCTGTAACAATTTTTCTAGTAGCTTCTCTATCTTGTTTTCTTTTTTCTCTGTTTCCGCTACGTTGACTTTGTAGCATTTTCTTGAGAAACTGTACTCTGCTTCCACTTCCAGCGCACGAATCAAGGTATCACCATCATTGTAAGACCTTCTTAATTTCAACGTCGCGAATGTCATTTACGAAGGTCTGTCGCAAGCCTCCCTTAAATAGTCTGTGGTGCTTCGGAGTATGCTAGACGTACCTACTATTGTTTTGACATCTGCTGCAAATTCTTGTAGAGATTCTCCAACTTTCTGTGTTCTTGTCTTTAAACGGGCGGCAGAAAATTACTTTAGATGTTCATCCCCAAATCGCAGTTCTAGAGCGGTAGTTAAGGCACTATATTTGCTTATACCTTCATCAGATAAGGCTTCAAGTATCTCTAGCGCTGCACTTCGCAGAGCTATCACCAAAGCTGTAGCTTTCTGTTCTTCTTCCCAAGAATTTCTTGTACGATGACCAAGGCGTCTGACCATGATAGGTAGGTGATTGAATTGTTCTGTCCTTACATGGGCCAGTGGTTTCTGCATTTTTCATTAACTTTTTCTTCATTTTAATCTTCGTTCAACTTTCCATAGTTTTCATTCGCTCTTCCATGTTGTTTTCCATTCGGTCTTCCATATTGTTCATTCCGTCTACCATACATTCGTGCACTGATTTCTCAAACTCACCCTTTAGCTGATGCTCGACTTCCGTTTTACTTTTTGGTCCATTAAGATCACATTTTCTCCGACATTTTGCCATAACCTACAAATTTGTTTCTATGTTCTTCATTTGTTCTTTAATTCCTGTTGTTTTATTCTTGATTGCTTCTATGTTCATGTGGAATTTCTCAGTTAGGCTGGTGGTGGGTCATCTTTTTGCTTGCCTATTTTTGCGTCCATCATTTCTATTTTTGCATTCATTCTTTCGTCTTTCATCTTGATCCTCCATTGCTGCTGCAGTTTGAGCCCTAGTCTCGATAGGTATAATTCTTGTCCAATCTGCCCGAAAGTCGTCGTAAAACCAGTTATTAATCTCAAATTTCCAGTGTTACGATAATCGGTGATTAAAAATCGGCGTGGGTAAAACTCAACAATTTATTTCTTAGTAATTCAAATTTACACGACTAATCACACAGCGATTATGTACACAATAATTCCGACTGGAATGAATTTGACTACACTCTACTTCTCCCATTGTCTGGACTTCACTTGTTGACTGAGACTGACTCGTTCTCGAAGGTGGCCTCTATTTAAACCCATACTTCCTTTACTAGAACCCATACGCATCGTACCGGGGCGGCGTATGGGTTTATTTCGTAACAATATAAATTAAAATAACTTTAACGTCCACTTGCTGGTCAATACAAACATGAAATCCTTACCTTTCTAGTGCAGTGTAGTTTTCAGTCATTTACTCTAAACAAAAATTAATGCAATTTTTATACTGTTTTTATTTTTATTAAAGCCTGCTTATTATTATTAATTGTTAGTTATATTAATTTTATTAGTACTGGTCATACTATTGGTTAAAACAATTTAAATCTTTTTGACAAAACTTTGTGAAACTCTTAGCTGCAGGATTATACAACTACCTACTGCATTTTCATTTTTCAGTCTGGAATTTCCATAATTTTTGAAAATAAATTTGCATGTGTTCGAAGATAAGATGTTTCCATGCAAGCATTCGTTAATATGTATACTAGCAATTGTGCAGAAACTCCACTCGTTAAAAAAGAGTCTCGTTTTTAAAACATAAATACTCGCAAACGGAATGATTTTAACTTCCCGAGAGTAAGCTAAGGAAGTATAGTAATCGAGTCCATCGGACGAATTGCCACTTTTTTCTTATTATTTTGATTATGTAATTAACGTGTAATGTCATTTCATAATCCAAACCACGGTTGTCCAAGACTTTATTTCACATGAATTTAAATTCAAACCAAACTTTAACTTTGCAGAGTTGGTATTGAGCACACTGAGGGCGAAGGTCCCAGTGCTTATACTGCCGCCACATTTATTAAAAGTACGCCAAAAGAAGAGGTGAAGCCAGCACCTGTTCCTGAAGAAGATTCAAGTTCGGATAGCGATTAAAAAATATTTATTAAATTTTTACAGATTCTTGTTTCTTCCAGAGTTAGTTTTGTGTGGTTAGTGGTAGCTATCTATTAAAACAAATCTATTTTCAGTTATATTCTTTTACTTGTTGTCATAGACCTACCATTAAAGTTGAAAGTGCACTGAGTTCTATTTAAATGTCGTCACTTAAACACAAACGTGACCAAATGAAAAAATATATATATAGGTACTGAAAAGAGTTTAAATGACGATGTGTACTGTGCCTAAAAACACCTACCTATCTATAATACAACGGTCGAACTGAATCTTAAATTACTAATAACTATACATATGCAGCTGGTGTTAAGTGTCGGCGAGTAATAAATGTAGGCCATGAGTGTAGGTATAAATTAGTAAAGCTTAAATATCCACAAATCTATATTTTATTGACCTCAGTTTTAGATAATGAATAGATTATTGTTTTATGTACGTATGTATATTTAGAAATGCGAAAAAATCTATTATCAGCGTATTCACTTTGAGGGACAATATGAAAACATAGATTAGTGTTAAATGTAAATTTTCCATGCAGTATTAATTTGTTTGTTAGTTCAAAATGGTTGTTTCCTTATCTCGGTAGTGTTATTTTTCAATACTGTTTAGCTAACTATATATATAAAATATATATATGGTAATAAATGTACTTAAATGTTCCCTACATGTTTCGTGATTTCAGTTTAAACATATCATTGATGTTATTGGTACGTTATGTATTATTTATATATTTTAAACTGTGTTTTATGAAAAAGCACATACAGCTAGACCCACCAAAGAAGAGTACATAAAATGTAATAATAAGTAATGTGTCGTTAGACAAAAAGTAAGAAATTTGTTATTTTACGAAAAAATTGTTATTATGTACTGTTAAATTATTTGTTAAATTTAGTCAAGTAGAAGTGTGTTGACTAGTTTTAAGTTCTTCTTTAAGATTTTAAATTTTTTAGTTTACCCATTATTGACTGGAGAATTGAAATCTCAAGTCATCGAGTCAAAATCTAGTCACTAGTACTTAAGATAATGTATAACTACTTGTAAAATAAGAATTTGTGACCCATACAAATTGTACATTAGATTTTAGTTTTATCTATAACGATATATATTCAAATCCAATATATGTAAAAATGAAGTGAAATAAATTGTAATGCTTATAATAGGTATTCCAATATTTTTAGTCAAATATGTACATACTTCCAAGATATCTACTATTTACAGTTATCGATCTGTCAGAATTTTCTCGTCTAAAAATGTTTTACTCCCAGTCACTAGTCTACCTGCTTTCTTTCCAAATGCCGCATCGTGTCATTTGCCGTGCCCAAATTATTTATTTGGGTGTAGGTCCAATTCCTTGGAAATGGAAGAGGTAAATTGCATGTGGAGGAAGAGGTAATAATTAAACGCTCCTAACATTTAATACTTATATTGAATAATAAAAAATACAAACATGATAGAAGAAAAATGATTAATTATATACCAGGAAAAACACAAAATAAAATATAGGGGTAAACTTACATAAATAAAACATGCATAAATGCTACGTAATTATTGTCTATTACCTCAATCTTAAAATCTACGAAAATAACCCATGAAACTATTTAAATTATTTCTACAAATCCACTAACAACTCAATGCGATTAAAAACCTACGACTAAACTAACAAATCCTTCAATATGTGCGGTACCTCCTAAAAAATAATTTATTACTTGCATCTGGTTCTGTAATAACTAAACTTAGAAAATTACAAGATACAAATTCGAGTAATGCAATTATTATTCATTCAATAAACTGCGACTGGGTATTTACACGCTGGCGAAGTATTATCAAAAAATGGAAATCGAAGAAACCTTCCCCCGAGAATAAAAACTAAAATTAACCGTATTAAAACATGCACTTAAATCTATGCTAATTATGACAATAAAATATTCGAAAAGAGAGATAAGCAATTATAAACTTTCTTTAATACGCTAAATACGCCGGGTGGGAATATTGGTTCACGAGAAAATGAACGGTTACTGGGTGGTGAGATGAAAGCAAAACTGGATCTCCAGAGCCTTTCAACGAGGCTAAACGTTTAGAAAATAGTATCAACAATGAATGCTCTAAATTACGGTGGAAGCATTAAAGTCGCATGAAGTGTGAGGTTTCCTAAATCTATCCCAAAAATAATAGAACGGAATCGTATTAAACTGTAATAAAATCCAAATTATTAACTGCAAAGAAATCAGATTAAAGTGGTTCCGGATCGGAAACCTCTCAAAACCCCACCTAAAATATATGCGAATATACGCGAACGCAGGAGTCGCATCCGGAAACCGAGGGAACGTTGGATTAATTTTCATAAAAGGCAATGGGTTAATTATCGGAAGATCGTCCCAGACGACCTAATGCTGACGCAAAGCCAAGAGTACTGCCCGCAAACGAGAACATCTGTTAACGCTAAAAATTCCTTCCACCCCCGACGCTATCTGTTCGCACCAAACGCATCGAAAACCACCTACAAAAACGTATAAATTAAACGCTTAATAAGTACGGCCGAAGTCGAGAACATATTAGCGTAGCAAAAGCGAGATAAGAGACTTATTAGGGGCCAATTCCAAGTTGGCCGGCACAACTCACAACTTTGCGCCACCGATTTGCGCAGTTCAAGTTGGCGCAATTTATCTCGAAAAATTGCGGTCGTCTGTCAAGTTTTAGCGGGTGTTGCTGTTAATTTATTCAAAAATTCGAGTAAAGGTGAGGATAAACGACGTTGTTGCACCCTCGTTACATTAATGGAAATTTTGAACTTGAAAATTTATAATAACTGTTGGCGCAAATCGGTGGCGCAAAGTTGAGTTGCGCCGGCCAACTTGGAATTGGTCCCTAACTAGAGTATAGATACACAGATGCAACATGAACATTTTTCTAACTTCTAAATAGATCTCAGCAAAATTTTCCAAGTCTGGTTTTCTTCAAAATTCAGCCAAAAATAGGGAAAAAATTGCGAAGTAAACTGACAGCGTGGTCCACGGTACCTCGAGACTTGAGTAAATTTCGCTTTTTTTTTATCTCGGAGGGGAAATGCCTTGGGCAGACCACAGTGTTGGTTCTCGGCACGAAGTAATAGGGGATTGTAATAAATTGCTTAACATCCTAAAACCCCTCCATCTTCTGCTCAGGTACCAGAACTTTGTCCTCTTCACCTGGGTCCTGACTCCTGATTTTTCCCCATTTATTTTGTCTCCCGCGATGTTAGATGTAATAAAAAGATTTAATAGATAGTTTGCCCGGAATGGGACTTTTATTTCGCTGTTTTATAAGGTTTAGTTTAGTCCGAATAGGATTTCGTCTCTGACGGATCTACGCGAGTTTGGGTTAGGTTAACTCGTAAATTTTTAAGCTTTTTCAGCTAGCATTATGGTTTCAATGTCGTCATCTCTTCGTTGCGTCAACTTGGTGCATCTCTGCTAGTAAAGGCGGCGTTCTTTGAACTTGTTTTCATGCGACTAAGTATCGCATGCTACTGTTTTAGTTTGGGTACCGATTTTAATGAAAGTAATTGAGATTGGCGGTTTTTATGGATGTACAGTTCTGCGCATGTTGTTCGTAATGTCGTACAAGCGCACTGATGCTTGATATTTGCAAATATGCGAATTTTGTTCTTACGTTTGGGGATTGGTGGTCAATTGTGATTATCTGTTTGAATGGTACCATATGCAGATTTGGATATGCGTGTTAAATACTTAATTAATTTAAAACTTTCAAATTTGCGAATTTTGTTTTTATGTTCTGGGGATTTGTTTTTCGTCTTTTTGTTGCGATTTTCTGACTTTGTGACGCAGTATAATATTACAATACCTCAGCACAGCCAGCTGTTGATGTTTTCGAAAATTAAACGCAGCACAAGTACTTAATAGGTTTATTAAGGTGGCCCCGACTGCATGTATTTTGGGCGTAAGGAGAAACACGGGTTGAATTTAAAAACTACAACCACAATATACTATATACAGAGTGTTTCTGAAAGGTATCTCAAAAAAGAAACGGGAAATTGAGCTTGAGAAGCACATGTCATAACTCAAAATCACCTTAGTAAAAGTTCTTTCGTTTTTGAGTTTGATTAAAATTTGGTGTGTGCCACTGATTTACGGCAATTTTTTGATAGGCAACATTTGCCGTGGGCTAATTTTACTTTGGAAGTAAAAAATGCCAATTCTTGCTCAGCAACAGAAAGTTTTTTTGTGAAATTTTTTTGGCGTTTTTCGCCAAAGTGTTTTCAAAGAGATTTTCTTAAAAAATGTAAGGTTATACAAACGCCGAAATGACCGCCATGGCATTTGGATATGGTCTTGAACCTCGACGTCTCTGCAATGAAGAGGATACGTCGGACTGTCGTTGCCAAAGAACCAACCAAATACTAAATGCGGAACCCGAAATTTTAAATGTCTTAGAAGAAAATCTAGGCATAAGCGTGTCAAGACTGACCTCCTTGGTTTCCCGATCTCAATCCCTGCGATTTCTTTTTGTGGGCCACACGAAGCAGTAGGTATATCGGACCCCGTTGGACACAGTTAAGAAGCTGAAAAATCGTATTGAGGAAGTTGCAACAAACATTACAGCTAATCCTGATATGATCTTTAGGACGCAACAATCACTGATTCGGCGTGCGGAAGCCTGTATTAGAAACAAGGGATGTTATTTCTAACACTTATTGTAACAGAAAAATTAATGACAATTTTACTTTGCGACTTTTAACTGTTTTTTGAAAAATAAAAACACTTTTTTTTATTTAAGTCGTGTTGTTTACAAATTTTTACTTACTAGAAAATATAATTCTGTATAGTACATGACCAACAATAAACGTCTCGTTACTTATTTATTTTTATTAGATACTTTCACAACTCATCTTTCACTAAATTCTGCTACGAAAGTGTTTTCCCGCATGTGTACCCCATACACCGATTCCCTCGAGAAACTCTGTGCCACTTAGTCTGCCGCCCTAAATACCTATATTTTAGAAATTGCTGGATAATTATTCTTCGTCCTTTAAAACTCACAGTGATAATGCACATTGTACAATAGTCAAATATTCTCCTTGAGTCCTAATTAATAGACTTCTGACTTTTTACTTGTTACTGTCGACATACGTGCTGTCGATCATTACCTTAGCCAGTTGCAAGGAACCTATTACTTATTTTTTTATCAATTACCTCGCACCTCATTAATACTATTTGTAAATGGCGCAGAAAAAATGTGGATGGGGTAAATTTTTTTTATGAGATTTATGCAAAGAAAAAATTTTTATGTGGTTTTCCGAGATGGTCAGACTTGATATTCACAACTCTCAAGCTCCGACAAAAAATTAAAGATAAAGAAATTGAAACTGTTGAAAAATTTGATTTTAATATTTAGCAATTAATATTTGGTGTTCCCCCCCCCCCCCATTGCGTCTGACAACTTCACACCTTCGACCTACACTTAAAATCAGCGGCCTTGGGGCATCTAGTCCAAGCCGTCATCCAGAGTGGATTTTCTCGTCTGCCAATGGTGTTCCAAACTTGCTTGATAGGGTTAAGGTCTTGATTTCTTGCTGGATAGTATTGATGCCAGCAGCTAGGTAATTTTGCACTATGTGGACTGTGTGCGGCCGTGCATCATAATAATATAATTAACATTAATAATATTAATAATAATTTATTAGACCGAACGGCTAGAGGCCTTTACAGGAAAATACTTATAGTACATAACCATTATTACAGAATGTGTGTTTAGGACATATTGAGAGAGTGTAATAAACAGAACTAACAAAATACCGGAGAATTCTTTGTAAAATTATTATAACAACTCACACGTAAAATTAAGATCTCACGAAGTCACGACTTGACGTGTATACGTTGTGCTGCGTTAAACTGTTAAAAAAAACTTATCTTTCATTATCAAAAAATTTAGGCCAACATAGAGAGCACAAGAAACAACATGATCTTGAAGAACGTCCATGATGTATCGTTTAGCAGTTATTATTACCCCGTTATTTAACAATACCAAGTCTGTACGTGCCGTTAATGGAATGACCCCTCAAATCAAAAATGAGCCATCACCGAACAATGACGTTCCATGCATGTTCGGTACGACGCCGATAAACAGGAATTCGTCTGTCCCAGTTGTGTAGACATAATCTACTCTCATTAACTAATTTGAACTTATGAGTCTGAACAGGTTGAGTTTGTAGGTTTCTGGCTGTTACACCCCGGTCTCTTATAGTGTACATATACTCACCGGTGGAAAAATGGTATTTTTTTTTGAAAGATTAGAAAATATGCAAAATAAAGTACGATTTCGGCTGCAATACTTTGATGTTGTTATGCACCGTTTATTGTATTTTTTTTGTCCAAAAAGAACTAAACTATATATTTTAATAGAAAATGATAAAAATTCAATAATCAAAGCTGAACAAAAAAATTAAAATTTCCAAAAAAAAAAACAACAAAACCAATGATCATTGACACACTTTTTAAGGACGCTAGTAACGGGTATTTCCCCTACGAGCCTGTAAGACTGCTGCCATTCTCCAGGGCATCCCACGAAATAAATTGTCTGTTTATTCTTGTGGGATATTCTCTCATTCCTTTAAACACACATTCTGAAAAGCTTATCTAAAGTGTGGGGTGCAGGTACACTCAATTAATAAGCTGGTCAAGAAACAATATCAAAAATAAGCGTAGTAAAAACTTCGAAGCACTGTCACTGTACTCAGAAAAATATTAGCTAGCCCGTTTTTCATGCCGGTGAGTGTATTTTTAAAAAACATTTTTCCTTGCAGTGGGTCGGTCTTGTCCTGGTCTTCTTGAGTAACTACTGGTGTGCTTAAACTTTTCTGTCACTCTCGAAATCGAAGTATGAGATGGATTTGATCATATTCTTCGGCGATTCAATTCTTCGTTTGTATAACAATCTTAAAATTCAGTACTGCACAAAACTATGCAAAATATATTTTTGAGACTTGCTATGAACATTATTATTAATTGATCGATTTCCGCTTTTTTACACAAACGAAAGGAATATTCAGAGGGGCAATAGATTGAAAAAAGAAAGTAATAATATCGTTAATAATAATAACATTGTTGTGCACTGTTTTCACCTGCTTTAATAATAATTGATTTATCTCTCTGACTTTAAAATGTTACGGAATGCTCATCAAGGCATAGGATTACATACATGAAAAAGGTAAAATTCGCAGCACCTATGCAGCACATTGCATTACTTTGAGTGTTCAAACAACTGAAATATATGTTATTCCTGAACTTTTTTCTTCATACTAGCAACATACTAACGTTCTTGTAACTCCCATAAGCATAAATACAACAAACAATAAGAAACCAATAGTTTGTTGACAGTCCTCAAACCAATTAATTTGTATGATATATAAACGTGGTAAACGCATGACATCATATACTGTCCGTTACGTATAAGCATTGTTTAATGATTTTTAGTATATGTATATACTTGCGACCATTCGAATAAAACCACTCCCTAGTGTAAGTTTTTAAAAATTGTTTGTTGTGAGTCCGTTTAGTGGGTTCAAATTGATCGGTTGCTACCCAACGACACCAAAAACGCTTCAGTTACCAACCTAACTTTTTATCAGTGGTTTTATCCAACTGGTCGCAAGTACATATACTAAATGTACTTACCTCTAGATATATAAACCAAATTCTTCCAATGAGTTACTCAACCAAATCTACATCCAAAAACTACCTCAACCTTCAGTGTTGTTACAACATTTTGCAACTGTTGAAAGAACTAAAAAACTACATATTTTACATAATGAGTTTTTATTACCGTTATGTTCCTGCCATAAAGTTGTGAACTCCCAACTTTTAGGGATCATTCTGACAACAGTTCATACAAAAGTTGTATAATAATATAGTTCGAGATATTTCTTGATAGAAATTCAAGCATTTACACTTAAAAAAAAAAATAAGCAAGAAGGCAAAATTTATTATACGGTATATCCCCAAGACGGATGATAAACTAAATTGTTCTGCCACTGGTTGGCAATACATATTTTCGGACCTAGAGGCGTGGTTACGGGAGTGCAGTCATAAGCGGTGTTTAGATCCAGGGAAGGGGGTGCCACAAATTTCACCGTATTATCCCTCCGTTGTTACTCTACCCTCCTTGCTATTTTGTTAAATAGGTAATAAACGAACCTTCGAAAATAAAACCAATTTTTATGAGATCTGGCAACATTATTGTATTTCAATCAAATGTGATGCTTTATACAGCGCAGTTACATAGTAACAACTGTTTATTTTTTACTACTCAACACGTACAACTAAAAATGCTACTGCTAATTTTCAGTGTGCTGTGAAATGATATAATTTATGTAGTAATAGGTAGTAATGGTACAATCAGAAAACTTACTGGGATGTTTTTAGAAAAAATTGAGTGCCTAGAAGACATGCAAATTTTATTTAAAAAGTGTTTCCGTCCTTATTTAAAAATAATAAAGAATAACAATAATAAAAAAGGCAAGTAAATCAAAATAGTAATTTATTTGCCCCTTACACTTTGAAGTAATTAATTAATATATGGAGGACTTTCTTAAAAATTGTTGGAATTCGTGTGTTGTAACATCTGTCAGTATATCACTTCACTCGAACCACTCAAGTCATTTAAAAATTTGCACTAAATATAACTTGTACTTATTTCAGACATTATAAGAAAATCAAAACTATAGATGTACACACCTACATAACTATAAAATTAAAAATTTGTACATAAATAGGTAATGGTCAGAGATGAAAAATAAAAACTTTAACGGTTTTTAACTGCTAGTACAATTTTGAATTATATACAGGAGTTGTCCTGTTTTGCTCCTAGAGCGAAGGTACATTATACAAATTTCATTCTAAAACATCTAGTACTTATTACAATGTCGCAACAGCCTCTCGTGTACAATTTGATCGCGATCGGAGTCGCGCTAAAGCGTTAGAATTATTTGTTGGCGTAGATAAAATCGATCAAAAAACGGTGGCACATGGTCGGGTGGGGGCAGCACCAAACCAGATCGATAATTTGGTATCCACAAATCACATTTTCCGATGGCCCTACTTGTTTAATAAAATAAGAGATGAATTGAGTTTAATGACAATTTGGTACAGTAAAAATACGATGTCTATGTTAAATGTACAATTACACTTCATGTTAGGGCACACCTGTTCGAAAGTTTCGAGAAAAAAAGTTTAGATATTTTGTAAATTTAAAGACATACATAGCAACGTATACTAACAAAGAGAATTCGTAGTCAAAACACTTCTTTGTATTTCTTAAGGAATGACGATAAACAACAATAGAAAAATATTTCCGATTCAAGTTGATGAAGTCGGAGTTTAAAGAGTTGTAGATCAGAACTCGTCACTTCTGTTACATTAAGCTTCTTTCTTTTGTTATGTATGTGTATTTCTATCATTTTTGCCTTTGGTACAATTAGAACTTGTCTTTACAAATAATCTCATAATTTAGTCCTAAATACATAGGTAGTTATACATACAATTTATGAAGTAATGGATTTTTTAAACAAGACCAGATTTTGCTTAGAAAACAATTTGTAGTAGGTGATAGAAACTTGAATTTTTTAAATGTTTAATAAATACATCATCGTGTTTTACATAACCGTAGCTAGATTTATTAAACAAACAAGACGTCACAATCATTCCATTTTCCCGAAAAATTTCGTACAGCTGTGCACTAGTTGTATAATGAACACAATAAACTTAAAATGTGTATGTGTTTAAAACTAATAGTAGCTAATATAACTCACATCATTTCCGATTTCTTTGGAGTCTTGATTACTTATTATTAATGTACCTTTTGAATTTATTTTTTAGAACATATTTCTTAGTGACTTTTGACGATAAGATCACACAATTTCGTAAATAGTATTTCAACAAGAATCACACACACTAAATGTCAACAGGCACTCTCTAACTCGTGACTACGTCTTCGTTTTGCTTGCCGCTTTCTAAATTCATTAAATTCTTCCTTCATAGCTTGAACTCGAGCATCGATGTTATCGTACCTGCTCCGTAACGTACTATAAACTTTACGTACAGGCCCAGTATCTAAATCGACATCTCTAGAACCAGTGGGTGTCGATGGTGTTGGTGTCGGGGTGGATGGATCAAATTCATAGTGGCCATCAACACTGCCAACATCAACAGATTTTGGTATTTGATCTGAGGTTGATGGCGATGATGAAGCTAGCTCTAACCAATGCCTTACATGTGGTGGTGGAGGAGGCAAAGATGATGGAGGCGGCGGTGGGGGTCTGTATGGTGGCAATCTCCATTCAGTGAACGTACTACCGCTTTGTGAACTTTGGTTTTGTTGTGAAGATGTATTTTTACTGCCAAATCCGCTTGAACTAGATCTGCTTTCAGGGGAACGATCGAAATGGTCAGGTGAACCTAATTCGGGAGCACTGCGTGCAATTCTTGCATGTCTTGGTAGTAGTCTTGCCCTCGGCCTGGAACCAGGATGTGGAGGCGGAAATTTTATTCGCTGTGTAGGACTTTCTCTGATTGGATGAACTGGTATAAAAACTTGGGATTCTTCATGAATCGCACGTAAAGATGGCAGCTCTTGTGAATAACGCTCATGTATTGATTTTAGTTGTACAAATCCTGGAGGCGTAGGATAGGAACGTTCCCCGGAACTCGTATAACGTACAGAACTTAAATCACTAAAGTAAAGAGGACTCCATGGTGACAGCAGCAAAGCGCTTGAAGTAGCTGGCGAACTAGATTGAAAATTTGGTGTTGCGGGAGTATATATAGTCGGTATGGGCTTGACGGGGTAATGGGTGCGTTGTACTAAATTACTGAACAAACCACTTGGGTCCCTAGCGCTTTGTCCTGAAGCATCAGATCTTAAACTCAGTTGACTTGGATAAGCAATTAGTGGTTTACGCCATGACGCTCGGTTTCGTATTCCCTTTCGTGGTAAAAATCCTCCATCATCACTGCTGCTGACGTTTGATGGACTATCGGTGCGTAGACTTAAAATGGAATCCGCCAAAACAAAACGACCATCTGCTGCTCTAGAGATACGACCAAGAGACTTCGACGGAGAACCAGTATGCAAATAATCCGGATGCCAACTTACACTGCTGCCAGTTCGGCATCTGTCTCGAGGCCATATCCAGTTTATAATAAAACTGATGAGCCTCAAACCTGATATTCGGCCTTTTCTAAGTCTGTGATAACATAAAATTTGTTAGTAAGCAACCACACATAATTAAGCACACTTATTTTTCCTTTTTAAAATGCACTTACGTGAACATCTAAAAAATACCATTTTCTGATCACTACATTTTACTTTAGTTAGAAACTAGTACATGTTTTCAGGTATATTTATTTCTAGTAATATGAACATGTGATTCGGTGTTATACGTACATGAATTTTGTTTACAAACACGAAATTAAAATTTAACGAGCATTCTCAGCAATTCACTCTTGAAAAACATAAGTATCAAGTAGAACTTTGCGGCACACTATAAAATGTACCTTCTTCAATTTGAAACATATGGTTAAAAAAAATTATTGAATTTACACATTAAATACCATTGCTTCTTAAATATGCATCCAAAAAATTAAATTAATTTAGTAGATCAATATTTGTTAGTAAATATTTAATGATGATGTTATCTTCTAATAACAAAGGTTTCTAATAACCTAAATTTCATTCATTAAACATCGCAATCAAATAGTCAAAACTTCTTGATTAATACAGCGATTTGTACTAGTAGAATTAAACGATATTCGTAGTCAATTAAAAAGAATTTTCCTCGCATCTATACATCAGCTGCATGTGTTTTAACAAAGAATCATTAGTAAATTTTACTTCCCGAGCGTAAGCTATGAAAGTATTGTAATCGAGTCCATCGGGCGACTGGCTACTTTGACATTTACTCGATGTGTTATGACCCGTACATTATAAAAACATAATTGTCCCATTTCTGTCTGTCTGCCCGTCGTCTGTGGCAATTTTTTTTAGACAGATGACCTCTGAAGTTACTGGACCGATAGGTGTCAAATTTTATATGTGTATTATGAATATCATGTAGATAGTAAAACGCTAGCAACTTTGTGCAATAATTCCCACCAACAATGTGATGACGTTCTCTTAAAAAAATAAGATTCGCAAAAAAATATAGGAGAATAATTTTTCTAAAATGCTGGATATGCTTTACTATACTTCAAGGGCAAGGGAAGTTCTGTTGAAATAACATTCGACCATTTTTTTTTTAATGATGCCATCAATTTTCGGGTGAAGAAACATTTAATTTTCTGTAACGCCTAAACAGTGTCTCATAGCACTTATTTAATCTCTGAGATAAATGGTAAAAACGAATGGCCAGAATTTATTTACTCTTTTGAACAACTTGTGCAACGTTAACACAAATTATCATAGATCATTAAGCGATAGGTAAATAAGCATTATTTGTAAACACCGTCTTTAAAGTGACAATAAAATACATTGCTTACCGTTTTATTACTTTCACGTTAATCTCAAATTAAACCTAAAATTTCAGGTTCATGGTTGCGAAGAACATCCGTCTAACACAATCGCTAACAGACAACAAAAGGAAAAAAAATATGATAGAAAAAAACAGAAATTTGCAGTTTCCTATTCTACCAAAGTTGTGACACAAAAAGTGATTTTATGTACACAAAATAATACCTCACAATATTCTCGTGTTTTTATTCGGGTTGACTTCGATTACAGTAATGATATATTTAGTTCATCCTTTGCAGTTTCGTATGATTCTTTAAATTTGACACAAGAAGAGGTGACAGACGTAAGGTGTAGGTTAATTATTTTATGTGTAAATGGCATTGTCTTTGAGATAAATTGAGTTTAAATTAGGCCCTACGACTTTCATATTTTTCGTTTCAAGAGCATTGCCTGATGTCCCATTAAAAAAATCATACGGTATATGAAGCAGATGTTTTACAACACCGTAAACATTAATTGTGGTTTAAATTTGACTTCGAAAAAGCACTTAAACAAAATGAAATTCCTCAACCACACATGCTTTTTTGCATTCCTGACATCAACCCTTAGCGGTTGAAATGCAGGACAGGTAAAATTCGAGGGTCACTTCTCATTCTATTGGGCCATTGGTGCCAGTGCAGACACGTGTTGAACGGTATGTTAAATTTTGTCCGCTTTTTACTTCCCGAGCGTATGTCAAGAAAGTTATGTAATCTGCCTTCAAATTTTCTCGACATGTCATGACCCCTAGAGTACGAAAAAACGGTTCTCCTGTTTCCGTTTGTTTGTCTGTCCGTCGTCTCGGTCGATTTTTGTTAGGTAGGTAATCTCCGAAACCACCACACCAATTGTTGTCAAATTTTATATGTGTATTATGAATTTATTGTGGATGGTAAAACGCTAACCAAATTTTGTCTAATCGTCTCCACCAACAATGTGATGTGATGACGGGACACAAAATTGCACATGGATTTTAAATTGTATAAAATAACATAGTCCTACTTGTGTAGTTTATGAATCCATGTTAAGTTTTTACCAGAAACGTACAGATTTTCGTACAAAAATTAAACTTATATACCAGCATTTTTTTTATTTAATTTTGAATCAGCAAAACCGAATTTTGATTATCCCCCCTCAAAAAAAAAAAAACTGATAACGTCACCTCAAAATTTTGTCGAATAAATTCTACCTAAAATGTGCAAAATATTATGAGTCTGTGCTTGTGATTTCTCAGTGCATTCATGTCTTTTGGATTTGCTTATAGAGAGTGACTCAAAAAAATTAATGAATGAATCAATTTATTTTACCTAGGGATTTTAACCCTTCATGGTTTTAACACAATTTTAACTTAATTTAGCAACCTATATCTAAAGTTCTGAATCGACTTCCTTAACTTACTATTTACAACTTGGAATATATCACTCGAAATTTTAAAATATTTCATGAGTAGTACTTAATGTTAAACTGAAACTTTGATTCTTTTTTAACTGGTTTCTTTTTTATCCACTATTATGTTGTTTTTAATTAAAATTCTTCTTCGGAGTGTTGGACAGATTTTTTCGCAAATAAATAATTGCAAAAATAAATCTGTCCAACACCCCAAAGAAGAAATTTGATTCTTTGGGAGAAATAACTTTGAAAATTATTATAGAATCGAAGCGACAGAGGGTATTTTATGTTGTATTATTATTTATGTGTGATTGTTCTACAATTTGAATCTTAAATAAATTTTATTTTTGAAGCGCGCACTCTATAAGCGAGGGGGTACCAGATTTATTTTGATTTCGATTGCATTTAATACGTGTCTATTGTATTTTCAAATGTGCTTTGTTTGTGATGTAATTAAATGTTGTCTGCTTAGCCCTTACCCCTCGCGCGATTCTAGTACTCCTTAATAGACGGTTTGTACTCGGCTCAGAGTTGTCAACTATACCATAATTATGGTATAAATATTTTATTTGTTAGTCAAAATACATCATAAGCACATTAGTATACCACAATTTCCGCGAAAAAGTGAAAAATAAAAATTTCAATTATTGTCAGTGGCGGAAGTTAAAATACCCGCTATTTTATTTTTTTATGTTGGAAGAGGTTCCACAGACAAAGATAGATCTTTAAAAGTTCTCAGTACCTATTTGTATTGTAATACCATGCTAATAAAGTTTGTATTGAAATGGAAGTGATTTTATTTACGTATATTTAAATAATAAAAGTCTGAAAAATGTTTTGTACATTAGTTATACTATAACTTTTAAGGCGTAAATTGCTATAATTTGCCACATCCTTGTAATAAACTTGGGTATTGCATCCATTTTAATGAGGATGCTGCAAACTAGAGAAATGAATTAATAAACTTCACAACAAATTGTACATTTATGACATGAATTTATAGTTTTTTTTAAAGACGAGCAAGTTTGCATCTGAGAAAATACTGTCCCTTAAGATGTATCTCGTAGCTTTTTTCTTCTCCAGAAAAGAACATTTTTCGACAGCAGTTTGATAAAACGAATAAAAGATATTTCCCCCATATTTTTGTTTCTCAATTCAGAGTCACTTTTTCGCCTTTGAGTTTCACTACTTTGTATCTGAACCCATCTGCAATTTCAGAACATAACGTAGAGCACTATTTTGATGACTATTACAGCTCGTAGCCAAATTTTGAAGTTTGTGTGCTTCCAGATTCTGTATGTCTCAATTTTGGTGGAATGTTCGGGTTATTACAAAGCATAAAAAGTTTTCCGATAAAAATTTAAGAACCCTCTTTTCTAGAGAAATTTAAGTTGTACTATTTGTTAAGGAATCCCTATATATCATCTTTTATGGTGACTATTTTAGTATGTACAGAATTTTAGTAGGTTTTAAAATGACTAGACGAAGATCTGCATCAGGGATAAAAAAACTAGGGATGATGAGTAAATCAGATCAATGAAAAGCAATGGGAACAGAACGTTCATGTCACTGTCTTTGTCAAGTTTTTTTTTAATGAAATAGTACAATTTATATATGTCCAATGTCCCTGGCCCACTACACGGTTTAATAAGAAACTTACACTGTATCGTATAACTTGTTAACAATTCTTCAAAAGAAGAAGAAAAACTAAAGCACTGAAAGAATCTGAATGAGTATAATAATTATATCTAGAAAAACATCAGTTCTGGAAGAAACAAGCGGCAAAAAAAAATGAAAAAAACCGTTGTATAATGTATAATGAAACAGTCATTGTGCTCATCTGAAGAATCTTATTTTCATTTACGAACACATATGTAGGCGATAGTTCTCAGTGGTTAATCGTTTAGTGTTTGATCATATTAGGAAAAATAAATGTACCAATATAATGATATATCAATAAACACGAAAAAGATTCATGCAATCACAAGCCATATACCATAAGTCATTTGAATACATTAAGTTAATGGCAATTAGGAGTACATGCTTATTTTTTATGAAAAGGAAATTTGATGGCAGCTGCAATTATATTCAAAATTGGAATGTTTTACCATGATGGGGCATAAAAGCGATAAATAAGAATAAATCATATGTGCACTGTTGAAATAGAACATATATACAGGTGAAATGTGCGAATATGATCTGTTAACAACCGCGAATTCCTTCACCTTTTTTCCTCCTGCGCAGATCCAGATGGCGGCAAATAACACACGTTTGGGATCAGAAACTAGGTAATGCAGAAAGACGCGTTTAGTTATTGAAAAAAAAAAGAAAGATTTTGCAAAGTGATAATGTTTACCATAAGATAAACCGACAACAGTAACTTCACTTTTTGTCGATTAATCTTAGTATCTTTGCTGTTAAAAGACGCGAAATGTGTTAAAAGTCTATAATAAAATCTAATGCACCTACACAGAAAAGACCAACCCTATGGAGAGGTCCACATTCCAGGAACAAATGAAGCACACTTAAGCTCAAGTTTATGGTAATCATTTTCATATACTTGAGCTCTACAGGAATCTAATTCAGATTCCGCTACGAAATGCGATCGTTTTGTTCACTCAAATTAAAACTAATAGATATTTATCTAAACAAAGATCGCATGATTTAGCGGAAACCATTCAATGCCTGACGCTTACGGTTTGTGTCAACGCTTGTCCCAGGAATAATAAACACGCTCTCGTAATCACGGTACGACTCGGATTCAACCGTCCTACAAGAGGAGATAAATAACCTTATGCCCTTTAAGGAAAAGATCAAGAGTCTTTGCCATAACAACGGAATTAATTTCGCTAGTTCCTTAAATCAGACTAATACTTACTGATACTCTTTGCTTCTCCCACTATTAACTACTGTCAGCAGTTATCCATATTCATAATATACTACGGCGTACTTCAGCGAATGTGAGACACGTGGTGGATTTCATAGCCTTATCAAAGAATATTAACAAGTATGAACAAGAAGCGATACTCGTGCCGCTGCCTTTGATGTTTTGCTGCTCAATTTTGGTGCCTTCAGCCATTTTGTTGGGGATTTTAAAAGTAGTGTGTTATGAAAGAATGAATGTTGACCACATAATGACATACTGATATAAATAATTTATTTGTCTACAAAACACAGACATAAATATTTAAATACCTATATATAATATAGTGGACCAAGAGCTATAAGGTTATATGGCCATCATAGAATCATTCCATTGTGTCGAAGTTAAGTTGTTTACAATAGAAAAGGTTTTAGGGTCGTAAATAACGTGTCCACTGCAGCTCGACCGGCTGTTGTGCTTTCGTTCAGGGGCGGCTTTCACTAAATATGAAAATCCACCACTCCACTATTTCTTTACTACCTGCAGCCGCTGAGGGTTCCGAAATAACCACTCGGTTTGAAAGCCGGCCCTGTTAAATGTGAGCAAGAAATCTTTAGAAGACGATTTATTGCTGTAAGCTTAGTGCAAACCACACAAAGGGGGTATTTATTTGCGGTCAACCACTTTTATGATGGTCATATAACCTTATACCTTTTGGACAAGTATATATACATATTATAACTATAAATATGTATTTAGTTTCGTTCCTATTATCCTACTCCTTTTAACATTTTTAGGGAATGGAAAAAACTTAATCTTCCACCGTTCTGCGTTAAACAACACATCACAACACAGAAATAACCTCGTTTTTCCTTTATAGGTGGCTCCATTTTCAAATGATTAAATTACTATGTGTAAACGAAACTAACCGACAAAGTAGACGTGTTTGTTACGAATGTTGCAGGATTAAAATATGTATGAAATATCTGAGAACTAACGTCTGTATTACAACTATACGTTTACAACAAACAAAGACAGCACAGTACGATATAGCCTTACTAGCCACACTTTGGGGAACCTGCGCAGTAGACACTCTAGTCTCTGAGAGTGTCGCTTCTTGCTAATTCTAGTGAATATTCTTTGACCTTACGTTGGAATAATCATAGCGCATCTGTCTGGAGACGATGATTTTTAGGGATGTCGTCGTACACCTACATGTTTTTTTACGCAAGGGTTATTTAATAGGTAACTATAAGTACACTATGATGGACTTACAGTCATCGAACCAAACACCACTTAAAAGTTTATTCATGTATAAAGCTAAGTTAACCTCTAAATAATATCTTGTTTATGACTGGAAAACCCCTTGCTTAACAATGAACTAAACCACAAAACACTTTGGAAAGTCTTAATTTATAATGCCAATAATGATCAATCCCGTAACAGCTCATTACGTGCGAAGAACAGTCGAGTATTTTAAAACATCTCGCTTTAAATCTAACATCAGTAACACAAGTAAGTAAAGTTCCCATTTGATCCTTTTGGTTTTTATTTTAAAACATAATCTCAGACCATCTTTAATTATAGTTTTTTGTCTCACCAAGCGTGGTTTTACATGCTTAGCTTTCACTTGTCACATCAAGTCAAATCAGTAACAGAAAAAAAAAACATAAACTCCTTGGTGAAGTACCTATGTTTAAATAACTAGTGAATACATTCATTATCAATCCCGTAACAGCTCATTACGTGCGAAGAACAGTCGAGTATTTTAAAACATCTCGCTTTAAATCTAACATCAGTAACACAAGTAAGTAAAGTTCCCATTTGATCCTTTTGGTTTTTATTTTAAAACATAATCTCAGACCATCTTTAATTATAGTTTTTTGTCTCACCAAGCGTGGTTTTACATGCTTAGCTTTCACTTGTCACATCAAGTCAAATCAGTAACAGAAAAAAAAAACATAAACTCCTTGGTGAAGTACCTATGTTTAAATAACTAGTGAATACATTCATTATAGTTAATATTTTTCACAACGAAAATAGTCGTCGTTGTCATGGCAAAGAGTTTAGAAAACTAGTATGTAAAGAAGACATAACACCTACTTTTTCAAAGGCACTTGGATATCCGATGCATTTCCTCCGTTTCTAGAATCAGTTATTCGACAAGCCACCATGTTGTACGCTGAAAATGAAGAGTTTGTTACAAAAAGTAATATTCAAATGAGTTGAATACTTTATATCAAATGTTTCAGGTTAATTAATTTACATATTTTTGAAGTACTTCAAAAAAAAGTACAATGTCAATAAAGGGTAAAAGGCAATATATCAAAATAAAAACAAGAATAAATTTAAGAGCAGTAGATACCAAACGTAACGGTCAACTTCGACCGAGTCTGAGGAGCTGTTACTTTGACCTATTCAACCGAAGGAGGTGTCATAATTGTTACTAAGATAATTTAAAACGTTGCTCGATGACCGTTCCACCTTTTCCAAAACTTCTACCCAAGCAGATGTTATTTTGTCTGGTCTGAGTTTACGAAGTATTGAGTGATTTTAGGTGTTAGATTTTGTGGCTGACGATCCGCCAAGAAATGCTCGGGATGCTGGCACAGAGTTGGTACACTTTTTGCTGGTTTTCTTTTTATTTAATTTGTCTGTCTTATTAAATGGTTGTTTTGATTTATTTATTACTGAAAAAGAACAGCTTGTTTTGTCACTACATTTATAGTATATATAAAACGAAGTCTCTATCTGTGTGTGTGAATGCGATAATCTCAAAAACTTTAAACTACTGTATGGATTTTTATGCGGTTTTCACCAATAGATAGGAGTAATTCACGAGGAAGGTTTAGGTGTATAATTTATGAAGGTATTGTGTAAATTGGCCGAACTATGATAGTCATTGTCTCTCTCCAAGCTTTACTGTTCTCTGTTCTATATGCACCATAAGAAACAAATATGTAACCTCTGGGTTGCATATTTGTTTTGCCTCACAGTGTTATCTTCATGCACATGGCGGAAGGAATATAAAGAAAGAAGTGCGCCATATTTCAGCAATGTAAACTTCTGGCATCCATGCAACTTTAAATTCTGGCTTGTTGCATGTTCGTACTTTCAATATCAACGAACAAAAGCGTTTGTAACATTGGCCTCTCGAAAGGTCCACCGAAAACTATACCTTAGACCTAAATTCACATTGATTGTCTTTTCACCAAAAAGTTTAATGATTCGATCACTAGCTGTTTGTAACGCCAATACTGGAAAATATGCACAATATTTGTTGCGATAGCGTTCGGGTAAAATGGAAAAGTCTGCTCCAGTGTCTATTAGGTATGGTACCTTGGAGGTTTTGTGTCTTATGTACAACCGAAGGGAGGCGCTCTTAACGGCAGAAATTACCCTAATGTCCGCCGGGAATCGGCGTTTTATGAAAACATTTTCAAACCTTGTCACCAAATTTGATATGGTACCAACAAATATACAAAAACCAACTTGAGGTAGATAAACATTCAGCTAACAATATTCTTGGTACCATTAATGCTAATTTTAAAGAAGTCAACCTAAAGGTTCAGCGCCTCGGTGTTGTTGAAGGTAGCTCTCAGCCTAGATCATTACGAGTTACGCTTCATAACGAATCAGATGTATTAAATGTACACGCTCTCCAAAATGGTTGCTTTAGAAACACATTTGAGCCCGCAAAAATCTGTTTTAGAGGACTAGTTCTCTAAAGGTATCATACCAACCTTTATGGGATTATATTTATTAAAGTATTAATTTGAAGCATTGAACGACAAAATCAATTCTTTATTTGGAGATATTAAACGTAAAACTACAATTTAAAGCATATTTGAAAGAGTCTCCGGAAAAAGACACGCCACTTTCAGTCATTTGTTTCCTATTTGCATCAAGTACTGTAGTAGCAATACATGTTGCTTTACTATAAGATGAAGATGTTGACGTCAAAATTTCCTCTCCTCCCATGACTAACTTGGACTCTTTCTTTTTCTTTTCCACGGAATATTCAATATAAGTTTCTGTCACTGCAGAAGGACGCCAACCACCCAAGTGTTTTAAAGTGACCAAGTCAGCTCCTGAATCGGCGAGTAAGGTGGCGGACGTCCGACGGAAACAATGTCCGGTGTACATTTTAGGATTAACCAAGTTCAAAAATTCTGCAACTACCGAAGGCATTTTACCAAAGCTGTGTATTCCAACTCTCTGGACAGTGCATTTTTGATTTCGGTATGATATAAAAAAAAGTTGTGCGGTATAACTCGTGGACGCAGATTAGCATATTTACGATACAGTTCCAAAGGGATGACACCTCCATTTTTCGAGGTTACAGCAAATACTCGCTTACGATTCGTCTTTGTATCGGAAAGGGTGATTATGAGAGAGTCACCGTTTTCCATAATTTCGGACAGTCGTAAGGAGTGCAGCGCTTCTCTTCTGCAGGATCCGTATTTTCCAAAACATACCGCCACTTTTATCATCAAATACTTATCGTCGTCAGCCTCTTTTAGGAATTTATTCACTTCTTATCTTGAAAGTACTTTCGATTTTGTTGGCTCGTAACCGACTGAGTTGCGTTTTAAAAAAGCTAACACTTTCGAAAATATTTCAACTTTGACGTTTTCCTTTAATGACAACGTTGCCTTGAGCATTGAATATTTAGACCAAACTGATAATGGCTTTAAATATTTTGATTTTTCGTGGAGATTAAGTTAACATCACGTCTTCATTCACTGTTAACACTTTATTCTTCGTCTGCCCTTCTTTGAAAGCTCGGTACTCCTTTTCGTATTGCTTGCGGGATTTAGACGGAAACAGATCCAAAGTAATTTTTTGAGCTTTCTCGGAAATTGATTCTGGGACTATTTCACTCATTTTTGTAATACGTAATCACTAATTATTATAAATTATGCACAAGTGCGTTTTTACAATAACAATTGATGATTTTTTCATCTATAAACTGATTGCCTTGGTACCCCAATGACAACTGTAATCTATAGATTAGACGACCTATTTTTAAAAATTAAAAAATTGAGATTTTCTGTGTCTTGGAGAGCTTTTACCAAAAAATTATGTAACTAATTCGTACGCAAAAAGCTTTAGCGGAGTCCTCTTGTTAAGGACTCGGCTCCTTCGCCGCCTCGTCTTTAATTATCGATTCGTCCCCTAAAACTTTATTTTGCGTACTTATTACCTAAATAACTATTATTGCACTCTAATGTCAATCTAATCAACGTCAAATTTTATTTATATCCATATTTTCTTTCACCGAAAGGGAAGTACGTATCATGGAATAGTCGGACCCGAGGGTAGGATTTCTGTTAACTGCACAACATTTTTGTCAGCTCACCATTCTTTGAATCGGTTTTATGTCAGATCATATTGTTTTCGGGATTTCTCGGACAATAAATTAAATATTGCCGCATTGGCCATCTCGGTAATTTCAGGGTTTGTTTCATTTTCGCTCGAATCGCTTATTTTGGGGTCAGCACGGTCTAAAACACTCACTCAGTGCTTATTTATTATGTTTTTTTTTGGAAACATTAGTTGTAGAATTTTATTTAAGTCTCCAATAAAACTGGTGCATTATACCCACGATTGTAGAAAAAATGATGTTGTATCTAACACATGCAAAAGTGTTCTTGCACTTGACGTATTATCCGACTCGACCTTTTGCACTTGTTGCATAAATAACTATTCTTGCTCGAGATCGAACACTACGTCAGATCGCCTATTATAAAACAACTCAAACAGGAATTAGACCCCGTGACAAAAACGGAGAGAAAAATTTAGAGATTGGTACTTTAAAAGATACTCCCAGTTCAGGATCGTTACTTTAAACTAAGTTGGTTGCCCTAGTTATTACTATCCCTGTTCAATTTCTTGTTATATCTGGAAACTTATAATTCAACTTCTGCTTGTACCTTGCACTAAATGAAACGTGGTTATTAGAAGACTTTATTAATATCTGTGAAATAATCTCAAACAATTTTTCGGTTTATCGTTGTGCTAGAAATTTTGAGTTGTTATGAGCGTCTAAATGTGGAGGAGTTCTTTTAGCCATTCAAAATTCATTTATATCGTTCAACATTGATCTTTTTGACATTACTGCTATCATATCTCTTGTTGATATTCTCGGTGCACTACTACCTACTTGTAAGGTAGTAGTGTTTGTTTTGTATATTCCACCATCAATTTCTTTCAATGATTTCCAACTCTTTTTTGACCTTTTCTCTAAAAAGTACGGTAGTTGTGAAGATGACATGATTACTCTTAACCACCGTGCTCTTAACTTATGCAATAAATACATTTAACCATTGATATTTTTAGAAATTTCCTCAACCTAGATCAACACAATAATTGTCCAAACACTTATGGTTTTATTCTTGACCTTGCATATTCGAACATTAAATGCTCTGTGGTCAAATCACAGTCTAGCATTGTTAACGAAGATAATTATCATCCCACACTAGATATCTCATATGAAATGAGAAAGTTCACGAAGACTTTCCGATCTCCAAGACTTCTTCATTTTTCAATTTTAGAAAAGCAAATTTTCCACTCCTGTACCAGTCGATATTTGTGATCATACGAATGCTGAAGATGCTTGTGCTATGGCTTTATACAGTACTACATCTTTTTTAAAAGTGGGCATAGGCATTCCCATCTTAAATTTTATTTTATACCCCGTGTTAACTTATGTTTGAGTAAAGATTTAAAGTTGAAATTTTTACTGGATGTAATTTGGGTCATCTTTTGTCGATTTTATTAAAGGTCACGCTTTAAATTAAAGGATATTAAAAAAATATATATTTGGGTATTTTTGTCGGTAATATTGTAGGCAACTATGTAAAAACAGACATTTACCTGACGTTTCCAAAATTTGATTACTTGTTCGATAAGGTATGGAGGTTGAGAAATTTTACGAAAATATCGAAACTGTATAGCAGAATGTTAGCTAAAATTTAATTACAATTGCCAAAATAATATAGGCCAGAAATAAGGAAAATTATATAGTAATCGACATTATAGAAAATTTAAACTGTGAAAAATTAGGTCAGTAAAATTACAAAATTTATTTAATTTACAAGAATATAGTACCTACAACATTTTTAGTTTTATGATACAGACATTTTTTAAAAATATTTAATAGCGTTGATGTTTAAGTTTCTTCTTCAAGGCACTATAGGCACTACTATATTAGGTATATTAGACAAATAATCTTCATTTAGTACTGGTCCCTTTAAAAAATCAACATTGAAGCACAAACCTAACTTCGCGTAAATTTTATACACTTCTGAGGATTAAATCGAATGTTTGTATAGATCTGATGTATTGTGGTTTATAAATTATAACTCTTTTAAGCTAAACTGTCTTATTAATGAATCATTTTATTTATTTGAAGTCGTACAAACTTTACTACTTAAATCAGTATACATGAAATTTTGAAATTTAGTGGATAAATATCCTACACTATTTGTGTGTGTTTTTTAATTATTAAGTATCTAGTATTTCTAAATTAATTATTACACATACTGTAACATATTTGTTTATCAAAATTATGTATTTTCTCTTCTTGTCTTTAATAAAATTATTATGGTTATTACTGACTAATGTTCTTACTTTTTAATATATGTAAATATTACTCCAAAAATCGCACATGAATTATTATATTCCAAAAATGCAAACTTTGGTGGTGAGAAGAGTAATAAACATTATTTGACATAAGCTCATACTTTTATGATAATTCTACTCCAGCTTTGAAAGTTAGGTCTGCCATTTTTGCTTGTCAGGATGCATCTTTGGGCTTGGGTATACACCCAAGCCCAAAGATGCATCCGTTCAGACGGACTGGTTTTTCTTACCCTTATTCTGATCATTTTTGCTGGGGTATTTAACTCTGTCACACTGGGACTCTACCGTATAATGTTAGAGTTTATGGAGGTGCATACTAGTTGAGTCCCACGGTCACTTGTGGATTCTGACTAACAGGTAAATTGGCTCCCGCCGGGCATACTACAAGTTGGCTCCCATTGCATATCGGACAAGGCAGGGCAAGGGATTGTAGTATTGATATTTTTACAAATGCATAATACAATCCTATACTGTCTATTATATTTTGATATAATGGGTCTTAGTGAAACGTGGCTTTCAGCTGACGTTTTGTCATCTGCTTATCACATAGATTTAACTATAAGCTTTACCGAGAAGACAGAAATACTAGAGGTGGAGGTGTAGGTTTTTATGTACGGAATGTTATCACTTGTAAAACTTTGAATTTTGATATTCTAATAAATGAATGTTTAGAATATCTTTGGCTTAGCTTTAAAACCTGCGGTCGCATTGCTTTGGGAGTGATGTATATTAGATGATATAATGTCCCATGTATTACTTTGTCAATTTGATACTGTTCTCATATGTGGTGATTTTAATACTAATTACTTTAATTTATCAAATCGTTTAGCTGAGTGTATGACTAACGGCATGAAACAATTAGAGGATGCCACGAGAGAAACTGACATTTCTTCAACATTGATTGACCTAATGTAATAAATGAACCAGACCTAGCTATTAACAAAGGCACTTTAAATATGGAAGCTATTTCAGACCATAAACTTATTTTTTTTTCTAATTTAAGGTTGAGCTTTCTTAAGTTCCAAGAAAAATACGTCACTTTCAGAGACTAAAACATTTAATTACGAAACTTTTCTATATCCGATCCATTGAACAAAAACTAATGTTGATATAACTTCGTTCTGACTGCAATTCCAATAGCATAATTCCATCCGATCAGTCAAGTTTCAGACAGCCTCATAGCGCAGTTTCCTCTTTGCCTAACTTATATAACATACATGTTAATAAAAAATTGGGCCCAGAGGTACGTTTCCATTCTTGTTTTATTAGATTACTCAAAAGCGTTTAACAAGATAAATCATGAGCTATTATATGCCAAATTGCAGTTCTTTGGTTTTAATGTGAAGTCGGTTAATATGATTCGGTAACAGGCCTCAACTTGTGATATCTAACAATATGTTTTTTGAAGTAGGCAAAGTCAGCTCTGGTGTCCCGCAAAGGAGCATTCTCGGCCCCTTGCTCTATCTTCTTTACACAGCAGATTTAGTAAAAGTCATTAAACACTCCACCATTTTTTCTTATGCAGACGATACGCAGTTTGTACAATCTTACTAAATGCTGACTTTGATGCCGTTTGCAACTATTTGCAGCGGCACAACTTAACAATTAATACTGACAATACTAATGTCATGCTATTTGCTTCTCCTAGCGTGACAGCTTGAAAAATGTAGTAACAGTCAACATTATTGGTAACGTTTTAAATTGGACTGATTCGACTATATTAGGCATTCATTTTGATTATGATTTACGCTTTAAGTCACATATTTCTTACTTACTTAAATCGGTCTACCTAAGGTTAGAAATATTGTTTCCAGGTTTCTGCTAAACTTCAGAATCAAAAAAGAAAAACTAACGGAATCATTAATTTGCTCGGTCTTATCTTATGGAGTTACTGTCTATCACTCTTGCTTGGATTCCATACATAAAAGTAGACTGCAGAAGATCCAAAATTCATGCTGTCGCTATATACTCCCATCAGAAAATACGACCATTTGTCAGAAAAATTTAAAACATTATGTTGGTTAAACGTCCCTAACACCTATGACTATCAGGTTTTAACTTCTATACATCGTATCCTTGAGTCTCGGAAGCCGGATTACTTGCTGGAGAAATTCAAACCATTACCGACTCGTCATAACCATAACACCAGATCAGAAAACTTATATCTTTTACCTAAACATACAACAGCTTTGTTTGAACGTTGTTTTAGTTACATAATGCTGTAGACCGTAACATTAAGAATCTTCCCATTGCCCGGTTTAAGAAATATGTATTTTCCAACTTATTAAAAAAAAACAGAATTCTTAAATTACTAGGTTACTTAATGTCTTTAAACTTTATCCTATATCCCAGTTTATATATGTTTTGGATTATCTTATATTCTTAATGAACCATGTGGTTATTTTTCATGTAAGCTTCTTTCAATTTATAATTGTTAAGTGTAAGAATAAGCTAAACTTCGCCTCCGAGAGGTACTGTATATGTATCTGAAATAAAGACGTTTATTATTATTATTATTAATAATATTATTATTAATATATATTAAGCATTTAAATTTTTATTTCAAGTTAAAGTTATTAAATATTTTATTAACGTTCATTGTTACAACGGTACAAAAAATAAAACTAGATAAATTATTGTTATTTACATTAAAGATAAAATAAATAATAAAAGAAAACAAAAGTAAATATGATTTATTTTTAGCTTGTTTCTATTTGCCGTGCATTTTACAAATTTTATCAATTTCTATATCTGTAAATTTTTGCCTCTTTACGATAACATGTTTTTTTAACTGCGAATTTTAATACATGTATCAATTTGCTCATTTACGAAGGAGGCAAACCGTGGTGTGTAAAGTTTTTCGGATATGATATTCAGAAATCAGAAGAGCAACAAATTAAGAATCATGCAATAATTAGACACAGAATTTTACATACCTTTCTCTTGTTTCCGACGTTTTCTTTTATTGCAGATTTTAACAGCACATACTGATAGAATTATAGCTACAATGAAAAACAAAATTCCACCCACGACGCCTGCTGTGATTGCTTTATGTTTCACTCTAGCTGGCACGGAAAACTTGACTTCTTCACTAGCTTCATAATTTTTCATAGAGTATGCTAAAATCCTAAAATAGTACGTTCTGCCTCCAACTAAGTTTTTAACTGCAAAAAAAAGTCACCAATACAAAAATGAAACACTTTATAAAAGTAAAAATATGATATAATTTCGAGGACATTGTATTAAGAGGACGGAGGATTCAGTGCTCTTTGCTGTGCTATGACCCACATAACAACACCTAGTAAAACTTTTATGACTTAAGCGGCTTCAGCCAAATCACCCTTATAAGTCAAACTGGCTATTGTATCAGTGGACATATACCTAGTAAAACTTTACAGCTCCATTGTGGCAACAATGGACAGTAATAATCCCTGCGGTTCGGGTCTATAAAGTTTACAATAGCCAGTTTGACTTATAAGGATAATTTGACTTAAGCTGTTTAAGTCAAAAGTTTTACTAGGTGTATGTCAAGTGATTTAGTATATTCCCTCCGCAGTTACTATTTAGAACCCATTTTTAACAGACCCACAGCGAAACCAATGAATTCACGCTCACTCAAGCAGTGGAAAATCAGTGGCGTCCCTAGTTGATTCAATGTGCGGTGTTTTGTTTTCGCAGTTTCGACTGTTACTAACGGGTCTTTGTTCTACTTATATTTACTGGTACATTGGATTTCTATAACCACTGACTTTTTGCTGATTGTTTGGTAATGACACTTTGTCTGATGAAATATTCATGATACAGCACACACACTCGAATTCGATTTCTACTGTGGCCGCTATCCCTATTAAAACACCTTCCATATCGCTGTCTTTAGTTACTGTTTATGGTTATTATTTGAAGTGATTCTCCGTCTTCTTAATATATAACAAAGCGTTAATTTAATTTAGGCCAACTAAATAGTACACCAACGATGCGTGTTCCAGTAATTTAAAAATTGGTCGAAAGTTATTCCGACAGAACCTCCCTCGCTGAAGTACAGTCTAACAAATACCGATTCTTTGAAAACTCATATAATTTGATTTTTGTGATTTTCTTATTGATAATCCCTATATCTAAAAAAGATTGGTTTAAAGTTATTACGACAGAACTTCCCTCGTCCTTAAAGTTCAGTCCATCAAATCCCGCTTCTTTGAAAAATTATAAAATTGGTAATGCCATTTTTTTGTGATAACTCCTATAAAGTAAAAAAATTGGTTGAAAGTTGTTTCGACAAAACTTCCCTCGCCCTTGAGACAAGTCCACTTGTTCGAAAATCATTCGATTTTGCGAATTTAATTTTTTTATGATAACCCTTATAACTTAAAAAAAAAGATATGTATGTAATATTAGAGTAAACGTAAAGAAACGTGCTATGCGTTTGTTTCAAGTGACTTTTTCCTATACAAAATTTTGTGATAACGCCATCAACATTTTTGCAAGGACTGTATCAGATTGTATAGGTGCAGTGTAATACTAATGACAACAGTATTGTATTGCCAAATTTTCGGGACAATGGAGTGAGGGGTTCTTAACTTAATCAATGCAATAAATTGTCTCAGTTATTTATTATTTTAAGTGATCCTGTATACGTAATTCTAGAAACTATGCATCCATTGGTAAACCACAAATATAGAGTCATAATATTTTGCAGACTTGAAATAGAACTTATTTGGAAAAATTTGGGATGAGTCATCCATTCTTTAGGAGGGGATAAACGATTTACCAGGACTACGATAACCGTAAAACGGTTGTAAGATTTCAGAGCATTCGGTTTTGCAGTTAAAAAGTTAAATTGCAAAATGTTATACAATTTTAATTGTTAATTTTTTTTCCAAAAATCTGTATGTCTAAGGTGAAAACAGACCACGGAGTCATATACCGCAAGTGCAGAAGTATCGTATTTTATAAAATAATAATAAAAAAATACAATTGCAAATTTTGGAATAACTTCATCCCATTGATGATGGCGATGATTAGCCAGCTTGTGGTTAGCGTTTTACTATCTACACGCTAAGCATGATAGACGTATAAAATTTAATGACAAATGGGACGGTCATTCTGTCTTATAAAAACTAACATAGAATACAGACAGACGGAAAAGGGAGACCACTTTTTTCGTACTTTAGGGTTCTTCAAACGTCGAGAACATAAAACTGCTCGCCCAATGGGCTCGATTACTATACTTCCTTAGCTTAGGCTCAGAAACTCATTCATATGAAAACGTGGCCAAAAATGATAATGACACAGGTGAAAAACAGAAAAGCACAACCTCAGTAAGCAAATTTTTTTTCGTATGGGTTTTATAATTGTCGTTATCCTCTCTCCATCTAGTCGAGCGATTCCCTGTACTCCGCCCTCCGTATGTCCTACTTTCCCACGATTGTTGTGTCTATGAGTTTGTTTGTATATACTGTTTCACCGCGACATACGAAGTCGCGGATAAACAAATGAATAGATATGAATTTATTTTGGAGATTCTTTGGGAGATTTTTTTTCTGCATTTTATTGATATATTTTAGCTTTGTCTATCACATCCATTGCAGCGATTGATGACTTTTTTGATGACTTTCGCGCATTCACCTATATGTTTATTGCAGTAAGTCTTAACATTAGCCCAATTTCTTCAATAGCGTTAAACTGACACTGGTAAGGGGGCAGACGCAAGTCCATTTTGTTGCAGCAATCGATCAACAATATATTTCTTAGGTTTTTTATGTTGTTTGGCTAACAGTTCATTCTTATGCATAGACGGTTAATATCTTACACTGTTCTTAACTAGCCATTGCTGAATATCAGATTTTCGCCAGGATGTACGAGGTTGTTTTTCAGCAACAGCACTATGGTATAAAGCGTTATCCATTATAATCAGTGACGGTTCGTCTAAATTTGGTATCAAGTTCTCATCACACCATTTAGTGAACATCTCGGCATTCATTTCTCCGTGATAGTCCATTACATTTGATTTTGATGTAAACAGAAATCCAACATTTTCAACAAATCCTGAGTTACAACCTGCATGGGATATAACGTAGCGCTTGCCATCATCAGTGTTTTGTATAATCCGTCAGTCGTTCCTGATTAAATCAATAAAACAAATGTACTCGTTCAATAATTGTTTTGAGCCACCTGTTTAAGCAAATTAAAAAAATATGAATGCAATGATAAATCGCAAGTAAAAACTCATCATATTTTGCACATTTTGGGTGGAATTTATTCTGCAAAACTTTGAGATGGCGTCATCAAATTTTTGAGAGTAAATAAACATATATTTTGATTAACAATTTACAGTGCTTACAATAACTTTAACACGTCTGCAATGTTTCAAAGTATTCAGTTTTGTAATTCTTGATTTATTCAATGAAATAAATTGACTGATTAACTTTTTTTTTGAGTCGCCCTGTATAAGCAAATCTACAAAAGAAACTCACGTAGAAATTAGTTTAATTTGAATGAGTTGTGTCCTCAAAATAGAAGACTAAAATTATTAATTAAGCCACAATGGAACAAAATGTTTTTGAATATGATTATTATTATTCTCATTTGATCATAATTAACTAAAAATTGGTCTAAAGAGTTTAGACAGTACTTTCCTCGCTTTCGGAAACGTGACGACTGCATGCCTATTATGTTTTTTTTTCGCAGTAGATTTCAAAGCATTCGGTTTTATAGTTCCTGAGTAAATCAATAAAATAAATTTACGCATTCATTTTTTTTTTGAGTCACCCCGTATATCCAAATTCAAATAATATGAATGGAATGATAAATCACAAGTACAGACCCATCATATTTTGTACATTTTAGATAGGATTTATTCAGCAAAATTTTGGGGTGACGTCATCAATTTTTTAGGGAGGACGAGCAAATACATTTTGATGAAAAATTTACCATGCTTGTGATAACTTTAAAATAGCTCCAAGATTTCAAAGCATTTGGTTTTGTAGTTTCTGATTTAATGAATAAAATACATTGACGCATTCATTAATATTTTTGAGTCACCCTGTATATGCAAATCCAAAAAATATGAATGGAAAGATAAATCACAAGTACAAACTCATCATACATATTTTGTACATTTTAGATATGATTTTTTCGGCAAACTTTTGAGCTGAGGTCATCAATTTGTTGGAGGGGCTAAGTAAATATATTGTGATTAAAATGTTTTCATGCTTATCATAACTGTAAACCATCTGCAAGATTTCAAAGCATTCGGGTTTGTAAATTCTAAATTAAATGTCAAAATGTTGTTTCCTAATTTTGATTTTATTTCCAAAAATCTGGACGTTTCGGGTAAAATCTCAATTCGGAGTCATAAACTACATGTGTAAGACTATATGTTATTTGATACAATTTAAAACCCAATTACTATGTACAATTTTGAAGTGACGTCATCATATTAGTGGTGGGGATGATTAGACAAATTTTGGTTAGTGTTTTACCATCTACATGATATACCTAATATAAATACAAAATTTGACAACCAGTATTTTCGGAGATTATCTGTCTAATAAAAATCCGGGACGGCAGACAGACGGACAGACAGACGGAAACGGGGCACCTATTTCTGATGAAAGATCGAGAAAATGTAAAAGTAGAGAGTCTGCCGACGGACTCGATTACAATACTTCCTTTGCTTACGCTCGGGAAGTAATAAAAGGAAAGTTGTCGTTTATGTTTGTACTAATATTAGCCAATGTGAGATTCTTCTGGTAGTCCATCGCAACTGCTGCGAATTTTGTGTTTCTCATTGCTCTCCTCTTAGCCTGTCTTTTTCTATCTTAAAATGTGCTTGCTTTCAAGAAACGAACCTTATTTTGTGTGGTAATACTGCGACACTCTGCTTGTAATTCTTCTATGTTACTAGGCTAACCAAACGAAATACCGAATTTTGTGTTAAAATAATATCATTCAATATTTTTTCATACGAAACAGGATTATCCAAGTAGATATCGCTATAGATAGCATGCAGTTTTGTTATATTAAGTTCCTCAGGAAGATACAATTTTTTAGAATCGTGCAAACTAGAATGACTTTTACGTCCTTTCTACTTGTGTGATTACCACGTATATTATAGTAGAGATTCTAACTACCAGTTGTTGATAAGGATTTTTTAAGAGTTTGAAGAGTTCTGTTTGTTACATCCCTTTTTTTAAAAGACCTCACTAGTAAATGGAAACACACCTTTTAGGGGTGACAAACTATCAACGGTTTGAAGAATGTACAAGATATACAAGTATAAGTATCCGTGTCTTCGGGAAAGAAGAGACTGTTAAGGTCCGTGTCCACTTGAGAGAGCGCTTGCGAGAAATAATTCCAAAATCAGCCCGTAAAGCCATGGTCGGGCCTGCCCTCAACTGTATAAGCGTATCGCCTTTACCTGGTTTCTCCGAGTTTGTGAGCGACTCTCACAATACGAACGCATTTCGAAATGCGACAGTCATCTCCGATAAGTCTGTTTTACGTGTATTTTTTTCGTAATAACTGAATTCGTTGCAATAATAGACCTCTGAAATTTTAAATGACAACTTAAGATCAAGTATCGTATAAAATTAAAATCAGAACTCTCGTGAGAGTTGCTCTTCAGTAGACACGTACCCTTAGAACTGCTGCTGATTTTACTTATTATCATTTTCTATTAGGGATTTGTATAATAGACTGACATAAACGCATAAACTGAAGTACATATGCTTCGACTTTATTGTTTGGTAAGTGTATTAGAAACAGCAATCTGATATATGCATTATAAATTGTTAATATTTCTTCGTTTCATTGAATTTCTGGTATTACATGAGGGTGCAGAATATAAAAATATTTTATTTTTGCAGGTTACAGACCTATTGTAGAAGATTGTAGACTGTGTCAGGAGGTAATTTCTATTAACATACTTGTTAGTTAAATCTTCTAGTTACAATTTATCAACATGCAAAACAAATTGCTAGTTACAAATCCAGATACCCATTATGTTCGAGTGCAGCATAAGTATTACAGAGTCATTAAAAATATTCATTCTTTACATTTCCCTTTGTAGAATACATTAGGTAACGGTTGTTTGAAGCAATGAACCATTATTTAATTCAAAAAGTTGAGTATTTATTTTGACACAAAAATGTATTTGTGTGAAGACCATTTTGTTGACACTGCTTCTACAAGTAAGTACGTTAATTATAATAAATTTGCAGTTCCATTACGTTTTGACAATTCAGAAATATCTGGAGTTTCTACAGACCTTAATTTGATGTCGATAACATTGATGTCGATTATTAATACGTCACCTGAGAACTGGTTTGCCGCATAGACCAGGCCGCGTTCTATGGATTTTCGCCTCTGCTGTTTGGTGCAGATTTGCCGTATGTCGCACTTGGGCGAAGCGAAACATAGTTTAGATTGAGTGCTGATTTGCCCCATGTCGAAGCAGAAATCGATACAGTACCGTTATCCGTTTTTACGCACTTGCTTGCTGTTTTGCTTTTCAGCGTTAAGTTTGGGGTTTGGAACGAACTCTTAGTCAACTTCACGCGTAGAACAAGTAATATGGGAATGACTCAAAATGTAAAATAAATAAAACAGAAACTTAACAATTTTGATGAATCTGAAATTAAAAAAAAAACAACTATAAATTGTGCTCTCTTTTTTGTTGTTACAACTACTTTCGATTTTTTTTTAAGAATGATTGAGTTTCAAATTATTAGATTCGAAATTTTACAAATCTAAATTTCAAATAGATTTGTTGGTCGATAAACAAATAATTGAATTTTTTACTTAACAGTAACATATTTATTTAATGTTTTCTCGGGAATGATTGAACTTATTTTCCCTAAAATTTTAGTGAACAAAATTTATTATGCTGCACACCTGTAAAAGAGTTCACAATTTTTTGTAGTATTCCTATTTGTAGAAATGATATTTCCACGTCAATAATTACAGATAATAAATACATTTTTAAGGGATAATTAAGATTAAGATTTCTTAATCAACTTCACGCGCAGAACAACCAAGATGGCAATGACTAATAATGTGAAATAAATGAAAAATTCATACGATATTAGAAATCGCGTGGTGAAGTAGTTAACTAAGTATAATGAACAATAAATGTTACGTTATTGATGTTTTGATTCGATTTTTTCTACATAAATATTTTCAAAATAAAGAAACTTATTTTTCGTTATTTTTATATAAAATCTGCATTTGATAAAACTCATTTCAGTCATTGATTTTACCTAAAAATTGTAGAATCCAAATATTGCGTTGTTAATTTCCATTGTTAAATTTTGAATTGTGAACGAAATACCGAGTACCAAATTTCAAATCTATTTGATTACCCCTAACTCCATATTATCTAGTACTTAATATAGTTATACGCTTTTCAGTAGAAAATAAAATAATTATTTGTACTGGTAGTTGTAAACAATTGTATAAATATTTCCGTTGGATTCCTTTGCGAACTCTTTGTCAATTATAATTTATGGTACTATGGTATGATCCCAACTGTTCAGAGAAAGGGAGGCTGTGGTGTGCGCACGTAAGCTTGTCCTATTCCTTTCCAATACTTTAGCTCTATATTTTAGCTCTCTGTCTATCATCTCCTACGTTCGCTTACCATATACTCCTTTCACCTAAAAAGTATGCAGTATTTCCCGCGCAAACCACGGAGCAGCGAAGGAGTCAGATCTCTAGATTGCCTGGCCTCGTGATTTGTCACGTACTTATTTTTAAATAACATACAGTTTTCTGAAACTGCCAGGTACTACTAAACTACAAAAATAAATAAATTATATTCTCATATTAAAGTCCGAATTAAACATGCAATGTGAAAAATAGATGCCGTGAACCCTATAAGTATAAATTAAACGTCATTGTTTGCCGACTACATAATTCATTAAACTTATTATTTTAGTAAGGTAAGGTATTAAACTGGACAGAGACTTGAATACTTTTTTTGCTATTTTTAATAACTCTTGTAAATGAGTAGATATTTAATAATAAAGCAATACATTACTTCAAATTCTTTTAATTTTCTTTATGTAGAACATCCTGTTTTCAAAATATCATGAAATTAGGGTTATGGTAATTCAATCTGGATGCTTAGGGTAAAAACTCAATGAACAACAAACGAAAAAGTATGTTAGTTTATAAAATTTATATAATATTTACTGTTGTAAAAGTTGGAGATTACGTTATATGTTAGTGAGGATGATAACAAATGTTGGTCAGCGTTTAATCAACCGGAAACGAGAGACCTATGTTTTTGTATTATAGGAGTCATGAAACGTTGAGAAGCCATAAAAGTAGCCAGTCGCCTGATAAACTTGATTACAATACTTTCTTAGCTTACGCTCGAGACGTAAAAAAAAATAAACAATAAGATTTGGATTTAATAGCTTTTGAAATCTGGTGAGTGAATTTTATGCGGCTATTATTACCATTACACAGAACCATCCACTTAAATTAACTGGTAAAAAAATATACCCATAAATAAACGGATAACGGTACTGAATCGATTTCTGCTTGGACATGGAGCAAATCAGCACTCAATCTAAACTATGTTTCGCTTCGCCCAAGTGCGACATACGGCAAATCTGCACCAAACAGCAGAGGCGAAAATCCCTAGAACGCGGCCTGGTCTATGCGGCAATTATGATTCCGAAATGTCTGCAAGTTTGAATGGTAATAGTGGTCAATATTGCTAACACGCAAAAATCCGCAGCTGCTGATTCTACACCTCATAACAGAAAGGAAGAACAAAGCGACAAAAGGAAATTTTACAATAATTTGATTGCAAATCAGTTCAAAATTTAACCCCCAGAAAAAAAAAACATTTGTATTGGTCGTACCGAAATTTGAGTAAGAGTCCAACTTGCTGACACAATTGAAAATAATCTAAAGTCGCTTTCATAAAATCGCAGTTTGTCAATGCGAACAGAAAGAGATCGCGTTTTACCACAGAAAGTAAAATATTTGTATTGGTTTTATCTAAAAACCAATACAAAAACAAGTAAAAAATTCTTACATTCACTACATATATATTTTTTTTGCAACCAGATCATTATGTTCACGTATTTTAAAGAATATCATGACAATATGCAAAAACTCAAATACGTAACAAAGCATCTATTAGAATATATTGTTCATGTTCACGATATTATTGTACATACTTTGTATAGACACACTAGGGCATATTTCGAACATAAAAAACAAAATTCTCCTTCTTCTTATTGCATACGAATATATCACGACTAACCGAGGTAAATTTGACAAAAAAATATTTAGTTCAGTTTTTATTTTTTGAGGGGGTTATTGATCAATTGATCCCATGCACGAGTCGTCACTAAACTTAAGCACATACATATTAAAGATGACAAGTATAGTTACATATATGATCTTAGGTTATCAGAAACGGCCTGGCGCATTACAACTGGTTAAGTAGACGTATTCTATGAAATGTATGTTCTGTTAATTTTAGAGAATGCATAGAGTGTCTATACAATATAGAATAAAGCTTTTATGAACAATATTTTATCCAAAATTTTCGAATGGGTTCATTTTTTCCTCACATATCCGGTGGTTATTTTTTTTATTGTAACTCTAATTTTTAACATTTGCTTGAGGAGAGAAAAAATGTCGATGACGTCACAACTTTTACAGCGAAAATGTCAGATTTTGTAGTTTGTGAACAATCCCTTGATACTGATTACTGTTATATGGTTCTTTTATTTCATTTTTTATCACTAAATTTTTCATCTGAAAATATAATAAAAAAATTGTTGCATGCGTAACTCATTTCATTATATAGAATTCTACTTCAAGGTATTTTATCCTCTTTCAAAATATGTTAAAAACTTTCAATACTTTTCGATTTTTAAAAAACGGACCACGTGAAATAGTATTTGACCGGTATAGCAACTAAAAATAAATGTCTGTTATTGAATTTAGAATACGTGTCGCGCATGCGAGAAATTTAAAATGATGTAACACTATATTTTGATACTCACCTAAATACTGAGTATCTTCAGGTCGAATTTGAGCTTTATTCAATGTTTTCCATCCACCATCTGTTCGGTACTTTATGGAGTAATGTTGTATTAGGTTGGCCCTTTCCAGTGGTGGCTGCCACGTTATCAAAAAACCATTACTAATTTCTGTCACAGTCAAATTTCTAGGGATACCTGGCTTTGGTCCTAAATGCAAGAGTTCTAAATTATATATACCAACTGCCTCTTAAAAGATTTTTAGATACTGATTCCAAAAGAAAGCACAAGTTATACTTAATTATATTATGAACAGAACTGACTTCTTTTGGATTCAGTTATCGTAAGTATATAGTCTATAGAGAAACAATGAAAAACTCTTCGTTCGCCATTCGCTTGCAATAAACACTTATGTTACGTTGTATTTACAGTACATAAAAAAAAACATGCAGTATGCTTCCAGGTTCTGACGACTTATTTTCTGGTTTTAATCGTTGTTATTTAGAAGACAACAGTAGCCTGAAACTGGCTGCCTTTTAACCATGAAAATTAAATTATACGCGGGGTGTTTCTCAATGTCTCTCGAAGATCAACTCCTAAATTATAATATGTGCAACAAATGCTTAAAGCTTAAGCTTTAAATATGGTGACAAGTTGTGCATTAAACGCCTACTATACTACAGCGGTCAATTAATGATACTAACTGATCAGCTTAATTGACGAACAATTCAAAATTGACAAATACGTCGAAAACTAAAGGTAATGAGTAACTTCACTTATAAAAATCAGGGAAGTGTACGAGCAGTACGAGCATGCAATCTAATTTGTGGGAAGTATTATTGTATGTTGAATCATAATGAAAAAATCACTTGGCAGTTCACCTTCGTAAATGTCCACAACGTAACTATGGATTGTGAATTCTAAACGTGGATTTAGTAATTTATTGTAGTAACTAATCCGTCACTTGATATTTTGACCTATTGTTAAGTTTGTTTGCAAGAACGCAAAGGAAAAGACATTACGTACAAGCTCACTTACTATTCCATCTTAACTTATGCTGATTATCAGAAATAATTATGATTATGCCACATTGTTGGCGAGCAAATAATTCCTTCTGTGGAGTTTTAAAATGCAAATGTCAACTTTAATGACAATTAGTAGACCCTCAATAAAATTCAACAATTTATTTCTCAGTAACTCAAATATACACGACTAATTATTATTCAGCGATTTCGATTATGTACAAAATAATCCCGGCGCAACTTGACCGGGTTCTCTAAACATTGACTGGACTCGACTCGTTGACTGAATAATCATCGTTCCTGAAAGTGGCCTCTATTTAAACCCATACTCCCTTTCTAAATGTTTCGCGATCGAGGTTTTTCTAGAATCTAGACTATCCATCACGATATCCGCTCCCAGGCTTTTCTTTAGCGAATACCGCCCAGCCGCCGTCACATACTAGAAAGCCCTGGAGAAAACCTATAGGCGTCATACTGAGGCGGCGTATGGGTTTATTTCATAGCAGTATATCAATCTGTGTCTGTTTATCATTGTCCCGTACAGTACGGGCCATGTCGAAGTTCCGATGGAGTCTTTTGAAGAACAATAGTGCAAACTTTAAATTATGAGGTTTCGATCGAGATACACTACATAACACACTGGTACAGACAACGTAATGCGAACACGAAGACACCAGGATGCAAGGGGGAACTAAGTTGTGAGGTAATGCAATAACTGATGAAGGCACTCGACGGAGAACTTGGTTTGGATCAATATCTGACAATTTGTTCCGGACCTATTAAATAAGAACTAAACAATTGCCAGAAGGGGCTCACATATCCAATTTTTTCTCCATGAGTCCATGTTAAAATATGGACAAGGACAGTTTTATAGCAGAGTAAATAGCGTGTAGAGAATTGATTCTAAAATCTTTGCAAAATTGCATAGTAGGGAAATTGGCCTATAATTACGTATATTAGATGGCTCCTCTTTTTAAGCATCGGGTATATAATAGATGTTCCCCATAAAGCCGAAAATGTAGATGTTTTGAGTATAAAAAGGTAAAATAAAGGTTCAACTAGAACTGAAGCACAATCCCTGATGATAACACTTCTAATTGCATCTAATTCCGACGTGAATGAATATTCATCTCATTGATAATCTCCTCTTTGGGGTCACATTAACGTTGGATAACAAATTGGCATTTCTGTTTATATTCGTCGACTGGATGTACACACTGCTAAAATAGTCACCAAAGGCGCCAACAATACCTTCTGGGTTAGCAATTACAGTGTCGTTGCTATACACGACTCCAGGGATCCTAGTACTTCCTCTTCTTTTACTTACAAATCCCCAGAATTTTTTTGGATCATCAATTAGCACATTTTCAACACTTCATAAATAAATAGTGTATGCTCTTTTATTTAATGCTTTCGTCTGTTTACGGTAATCGCAGAATAAGTTAAAATAATATGTTGTCTTGCTTCCTTTATACATCTTATAATTAATATTCCTTATTTCTAATATGTCTAATAACTTCACAGTGAATCACGGTGGATAATGAAGTTTTTCATGTTTTAACTTTCACACAATTAGGATAATAGTTTAGTTTTGCAGGCATTTTCACTGTTAGCTGCTTTGTATAACCAATCCATGTCGTACAACGATTTATTTATATAAAGCCGGGAAGCCCACCTTTTAAGAGTTGAATGTCTTAAAAGTAGCTATCTATCATTGAAAAGTGCTTTTGTGGTTGATTACGATGCATAAAATGAATGCACAATGATGGGTGGTATCCTCTGGTACCATATACGATACGGATCTCTCAACTGCACAAGATATATTGGAAAAAACAAGATCAAGTATATTACCGTGTAAATTTTCAATTGTACTAAATTGACGCATGTTAAAAAAATTCATAAACTTTATTAGTGTCAAATTTTGTCTACTATTTGGATCACTGGTGAAAGACGGCGTCTTGAAATCTCCAATTATTATAATATTGTGCTTGTAGTGGCCGAAATTGTTTATAAAATGATCCAAAAATGTAGAATAATGATCAAATGTTGTGGATGGTGGTATATATGAAACGTAAATATGTCTGATTTATATATCTTTATGTTCAACTCAATCATAATCACCTCAATTACAATACTATCCACAGTCAATAATCTGCCTCATTATTGTACATGTACTTGTCTCTTTATTGGCCTTGCGAGCAAGCTCGCTCAGCCATAAAAGAGTGCGTCTAATAAAGCTATGCATTATTTACTTGTAACATAAATAGCTACTACAAAACACGTGACCAAAGTATCATACAAACTCAAACAACTATTGCGATAGTGATCTTCGTTTTACGCGTTACACAAAGAAGGAAGTTACGAAATGTATGTCTACCAATACCAATGCTACGCAACATGCCAGTTACTCTATTTCACAAAATCCTCTGACTTGAAAAGAGATGAAACTATGCAATGTCTCTGTATACTTGTGACTTTTTCGTCAATTGTCATCGTCGTTTTTGGTTCTACTTCAGTGTTTTTAATCGTAGTTCCTAATTGCTAATCTCTATTTTCCAAAACAGCTCTTATCACAACTAACCCAGTCTATTAGTTGTGTTGTTTGTTCTGTGCGTTTGTTTTGTTAACTTTTTTGTTCGTTTGCGGCAAAAGTGAACATGCTCGGCAAACCTTTGAGCTCTCGTGCTCAGAAAATAGTGGCTAATCTCATAGAGTATTTTACTATGAAAAAGGAGCACAATGGTCCCCTGTTGTCGTTAAATGCCATAGAACAAGTAAGATAAAAAGCAATGGAAATTTTTATTGCTTTATTACAATATCTTTTTGAATTTTTAGCGAGTTGCAGATGCTCTAGGCGTTTGTCAACAGTGTCTACGACTAAAACCAGAAAGGAGATGTTTTCACCAGCCCATCAAAGTCGAGACCAAATCGCAAATCTCTCAAGGCAAACGACCTCTATGAGCTTATAAAAATGGAAGTTCCTAAATCAGTTTATTATGATATGTGTAAAGATAGTAGGTGATAATGATTCATTCAGATAATTATTAATGTTTTCAGGAAAATTACTTTGCAGACGTTAAACCACGAATTAAAACGAAAGGAAATAGTGGATGTGAGTGTGAGTACTCTTCGTCTTCTACTGTTTCACTTGGAATTCAAATATAGAAAAGATGATATCCGAAAAGTATTAATGGAGAAAGCACGTATTGGCGCGCACAGGGCCCATTTTGTACGCAAGAATCCGAATTTACGAGAAATATGATCTCAGATGAAACATGGGTTTTTGCTAAAGGAAATGTCATAAAATCTTGTCAGGATGGTGGCACTAAGAGCGTTAGAAGACCACAAGGTCGTTATGCCAAGCGCTACGTTATATTGCATGCAGGACGCAACTCTGGATTTGTTGAAAATGTTGGATTGCTGTGTGGATCGAAATCAAATGTAATGGACCATCACGGAGAAATGAATGCTGAGATGTTCACTAAATGGTATGATGAGAAGTTGATACCAAATTTAGAGGCGCCTTCACTAATTATAATAGATAACGCTTCATATCATCGTGCTGTTGCTGAAAAACAACCTTGTACATCCTGGTGAAAATCTGGTATTCAACAATGGCTAGTTAAGAACAGTGTAAGATATGAACCGTCAATGCAAAAGAACGAGCTGCTATACTTAGCCAGACATCAAAAAAAACCTAAGGAATATATTGTTGATCGATTGTTGCAACAAAATGGACATGATGTATTGCGCCTTCCCCATTATCACTGTCAGTTTAATGCTATTGAATTAATTTGGGCTAATCCTAAGACTTACTGCAACAAACATATAGGTGAAGAAGGTTATGGTGACGATAAAGTATTGCATATGAGGGAACAATCTTTAAGTAACTGTAACGCAAATACATAGAAAAAGTGCATTGAACATACTGAAAAAAAGTTATTAATGTATGGAGTGAACGACAACTATTATTGGAAGGGACAGTACCAGAACGGCGAATTACAACAAATACATTTTAGTTTATTATAAGATATGCAAATAAGTAAAATCTTTCAGCTAGTTTTAGACATCGTGAATGTGGTTTTTACCTTAAAGGCAACTTCGTCTTGTTTCAAATATGTTATAAATATGTGCGCGACCCTAACACTTTAACAATCCTCCCAGCACACCAAGCTGGGTTTGCGATAGTGACGTGCTATTACA